GGATGGAATCTTGTCATACTCCACGAATGTTACGGATGGAGTTTGACAGTCAGCACGGATGTTTCAGATTTGGTCTAATCAGACAGTACGGGTTTACGGATGGAGTTTTGTCATACTGCGCGGATGTTACAGATGAAGTCTGATCATACTACACGGATGTTGCGTACTGATTCAGGTCAGGTTTAGGTGATTTGATACTAAATGACCATAATCCTATTCTCAATCAGTAATTACATGTAACAGTATAATATGACTTTTATCTCATTGATAATTTTCACTATCGTCATTAGAAAGTTAATTACTTTTGTATATCAACAGTACGTGGTTGGTGAACACTGGATAGGTATTTATTCCTCGTCATTCAATGCAGGTCAGACGTTTTGCAGGAAGGGAAATCAAAGGTGGAATGACTCTACAACCGGACTGGCTGAGCTGTATTGTTAGTAAGTTACGTAATACAGTGACTATATGTATTCCATATTATTTTGAGAACGTTCGTCCGTAACGCATTTATCCGGGCATTGATAATGCTAAAATTATATAAATATATGTTAACTTTTAATTTTTTCAGAATCTTTTTTTTTTTTTTTTTTGCTAGTTGTTATTTTGCGTCATAGGACATTTAGATAGTTTCCATTAATTCTATTTTTTTTTAAAAAAGGCAGAAAAGGAAACGCTATTTGTTAGATAAATTTGCTTAACATACATATGAGCCGCGTCACGACAAAATCAACAATATGTGTTTGCGACCAGCAAACATCCAGACCAGCCTGCGCATCCAGGATCCATGCTGCTCGCTTACAGACACTAGAACAAGTAAAGAAACTGATAGCGAACAGCATGAATCCTGATCAGACTGCGCGGATGCGCAGGCTGGTCTGGATCCATGATGGTCGCAAACCCATTATGTTGGTTTTGTCGTGACGTGGCTCATATATACATGTACACAGCTCATTCGAGGCTCAGGAATGCTGGAATCTTTCGTTTGTCACAACAAAAAGTGAGGATGACTGTGGGAGAGTGACAGAAAAGGGAGGTAATTCAATTTATTATTCATAATGCACATTTACCGATATTCTTTCGAACAAAAGAACCACCAGTGCTGTTTATCTCTTAAATTATCTCTAATTTATTTTATTGGGGGCATCATTTATCAAATCTTCAGCTCCGTTTTCAATATAAACTAGACTAGCTTAAAATTCAGGACTGTCTTGAATTGATAGTTACCATAGATACATATTTAAATATCAAAAAACATAATACACAACAATCACGACAAAATCTAGTCAGATTCGACGAATATGCGAGGTAGACCGCCTAAAACATGCAAGTATTGTTTAATATCGTGACAAAAATTAACACAATATGTTAGCGAATATCTTGGCTATTATTCATAATATTTAACATAATTATCAGTGATAGTTATTCTGGTTCCCTGTCCTATTATGGTTATAGAAGTACCCAGGGGACCAGTCTAATCCGAAGTTTGACGAAAGAGCCGAGAAGATTCGATTGTCACAGATAGTTCGTTTTGTCGCAATTACGGGCATACTTTTTTTATTGCAACACGTGTGCATTATCGATGTAAATTTTTTCTAAGTAAGTTGAAGGTAAACAATGATTATTTTTCAGATGCCGATGATGATATCAAATTTTACAGCCAAGATTTGTCCGAATACTTTTGGCAAGACGTATGCTACTCGAGGCTTGCAAACGGAGAGTGCTCTTTCCGCTTTCTAGGACTGTTAGTTAAGGCTTGGAGAGGAGATGGTAGGTCGTGTGTATTTGAGTTTATTTATCCTAGTAATATAAACCGGCCCCTTTACTACTTACACTCGGTTGTCCATACGGGCGAGTCCTCCGGGAGAGTACGTGTTAGTCATTTTAGGATTTGGAGGATAGTGCAAGATATACATATATATACAGAAAGATACCCCAATTCCAGAAGCTTCTCCTGGTTCTTTAGCGTGCAAAATGTTTAAGCACTCATGCACATGACCTTGATATGAAGTCTTATCCGAAAGACATTTTTGTATTTCTAGTCGGCCGGGCCGATAATCGAACCCACAATGTCAAGATTACAAGTTTTACGCTCTAACCGATAGAGCAATGCGGACTGGCTTGTGATTGTATCCTAAATATATAGTAGCTCACGTGTCTTCCCGGCATTCTTTGCCCTCCCATAAAGTCTCCTGTCTCAATTTTCACTTACAAGGTCACGGGCCTACATGGCATTCTTGGTGCTTGAATTGCATAAATAAGGTCACGTGTCTTCCCGACATTCTTTGCACTTCCTGAAAGTCTCTTATCTGACTTCTTATATTTTACGTCACATATCTTCATGACATTATTTGTGCTTCCATGCATACCTTTTCTTATATAACAGTGATTTAATCTAAATTTCACACGCCAGGTTACGTGCCTTCCCGACATTCGTTGCGCTTTTTTATACATTAAGGTATCTCATTTAATTTTTCATACATCATGTCAAATGCCTTATCGACATTCTTTGCACTGGTTCTATATATATGTGAAACGTTCTTCCAAATACGATTGTTCTGTGATTGATAGTTGCATTTATATCTACATGAATTACATGCATATAATTTGCATAATTCCATTTTCGTTTTCTCTAGGTGACCTTGACCTACAAGGGTTACCTTGGGAACTAATAACAGCTGACCTGTGGAACAACTTTGGGTTGCGGTTTTCCGGACCGATCGTTAAGTTTTCTTGGAAAGATGGACCAGGTAAATGATTCTGATTTCAAAAGTTTACAAGATTAATAAAGTATAGAAACCTCTGATCTAAAGTACAACATATAAGCTTTTCCATAGATCATTCTAATTTAGTTTCAATTTGCTGTTTAATTTGTTGCTACTTCCATTTGTACCAAAGTTTTAATTGATTTTTTTTTCAAATCACAAACTTGGGCGGTGTAACAATGTCTTTATTTTTGTCTTGCAGATTGCGGTTTCACTGGCATTAATTTCCCTTTGAAAAAACCAGATATGGGCCCTATACATGGCCCAAAAATAACCATCAAAGAAGGAACGCCTTTTTTAAAAAATTAAAATTTTAACTGAAGAAGAAACAAAAATTTTAAAAACCATTAAAGGGATATCAAAAAGTATAGTCTAAATCTGTAGTTTTTTATTTAAAAAACTAGGGCAGAAAGTGTTTTTACTTTTTCTTTACATTTTTTGCTGAAAAAACAAAGGGATGGCCCCACGAAAAAACTATTCCCGGACATGAAAAATTTTTTTTTTTTTAAAAAAAAACAATAAGGGTTTCCTTAAAAATAAATTTTTCCCGTGATAAATTTAAATTTTAAAAAATGGGTCACCCGTAATGTAAAGGACAAATTTTTCATGCGGTCAAAAGCTTGATTCCGGGTTCCCTTTTAAAACGGCCGGGAAATGACGTAAAAATTTTTTTCGCTAGTCGGGATTTTACGAGGAAAAATTTTGTTGGAAAATTTCCCTTTTCAAAAATTTTCCCAAGGGGAAGAAAAATTTCTTTGAAAGTACCAAACAAAACAACATAAGGGTACAATTTTCCGTTTCCAAATTTTTTCATTTTACAAAAAATGACCCTTTCGTTCGTTTTGGGGTCCCTTCGTCCTTTATCCCCGTCTGTCAGTAGTTTAAAATTCAATGGGTTCCCATTTAAAAAAACTCTTTAAAACCCTTTTTGTCATTGGGAAATGACGTAAAAGAATAATTTTAAGGGGATTCCCCCTTTAATGCCAAGGTTGGGAGTCCTGCAATCTTTTAATCCGCTAAATTAATTTTGAACCCCTTTTTGGGATAAACATTAAAAAAATTGCCCGAAAAAGTTATCTTTTTGGGTACGCAGGGGAAAAAATTTATGATGGGAGTCAAAGTAAGCCCCTCTTGTGGGCTATTGACCCAATGAGCTAAAAGGCCCGGGCATAAAATTTTTACTTGGGATTTAAGGAAAAAGCATTGGCAAATGCAAGTTTCATAAGTTTACAACCCGGGTAATTTTAAGTAAAAATTTAAAGAAATTTCTTAAAATTTTTAATCAGGGAAAATTCGTTGGCACTTAAAAGTCATTGTGGATACGATCCCCTTTTCCCCTAAAAAAAGGGGAAAGGGGCTTGGTCATGTCATGTTTTAGGGTTACCCCAAAAAATTAAAAAAATCCCAGTTGTAGATGTCAAAGGGCGCAATTCAAGGGGGGAGTTTTTTAACAACGTTAAATCTTTAAACAATTAAAGAGGGGGGGAGGTTCTTGGGGTTTTATTAATTTAAAAACACTTCCCTTTTTTTTTGGAACAAAAAAATTATGGGAACGCATATAAAAAAAAACCCTTTTTTTTCCGGCCCCGGGGTTGGGGGTTTTGAAAAGTTTTTAAAAATTGTTCTACGTATTACTTTCCTTGGTAAAATTTGGGCGTCTTTTACGGTGGTCTTGTCATTGTTACCGAGCAAATTTTGTTTAAGATATATAAGTAATTATCACAAAAGATTTCTTATATTTTTCATGCTTTGTCCTGTCCTTAAGTGGTTATTATTCTATTTGTAAGGGAAGTAACTGTTTAATGATTTTAAAACCAAATAAATTAAAAAACTCGGGCGGTAAGTTCCCTTAACATCCCCTTACGAATTTTACTGATTCTGGACCCATTGATTGTTCAACGTTAAATTTATTTGGATCAGAGTCGTCATTAAAATTTTTACTATCGAAAGCTATTTGAACATTGGATTATTTCATGTCCGGAAGCTCGACAAACATTTTACGGAGATTCGGCGATTTTTTTAAAAATTAGAACAACTTTACTTTTCCTTCTTTTTTCTAAGGTTTTAAGGTGGAATGCTATCGAATGGCTTTGTTACCGTCATTTTGACTTTAAAAACTTAAGCAGACTAGTTTTATATGTTTATTTTCCAAGCAATTAGTTTTACCACTAGACGTAAAATGTCAGCTTCGAACGTAATTCCAACTCAAAAAGTAATTCATCTCATCCTGAAATAAAATGACATAAGATTTTTAACTTATTTTAAAAAGAGAAAACTCTAGTGACAGATTAAATGTGTCACGAGGGAAAAATACCGATATGTATAATGTCTTATTTGCTCATATATCTTATGCTATCCCCTGTATACTGTACTTCTGTCAATAATTTATTTGTTATATTCAATGTGTGCAAGCAGGGGATATATAACGACACAATAAATAAGACATATGAACACAAGTCGGTATATAACCCTTTTAAAAAATGTAAAAAAACAACAATATAAAAATATCTTTTTATATGTCTCTAAGCACATCTCATTAATTAAGGAATGAAATCGTTTTTGCAACATTATATGTTTCAATCTTACCAATGACTGTTTTTATACTTTTTCAATTTAAAAACACGAAACTTGGCAATAGTCGGCCTTGCCCGATGGCTTCAAACCACTTGCTCCTCACCACTGAAGGTTCGTATCCCGTCAGGGAAACTAGATAATTTCATATGTGGAGGATATTCTGGATAGCTAACGGAACGTCAGTGGTTCTACTTTGGTTCCCACTCGTGCCTGAAATAATATGAGGTCCTCCAAACAACCATAACGGTGCCGGTGTAACGTCAATCCCAACCCAAAAAAAGTCGAAACAAGGCTAGTGAAGTTTAAGGTCTCTACTTTGACGTACTTAGTGATTAGACTATGTTTCTTTTAAATGACACCAGATCTGGAGGTTAAACAACTTTTTCCTGAGTGAGTTCTCGTAAAATTCATTGGTCCACATAGATTTTATGCTGGTTTCTAAGCAATCAAACACTTGAGATATGAGTTCGAGTTTTGGAAAATCTGTATTACTTCGGGCCCAGTACTGGTTAGTTCCAGGAATTGGACTCGAGAAGAGTTGAAATAATTTTCTATCTTAATCTACAAAAACATGTACGATACGATACTTACCTACAATCCCTTGGAACCCTAAAATAATTAAAATCATTCCTTATTTAAATTAAGGTAAATTAAATGACATTTTTTCTTAAAAGTTCAAAATTATATTATACATGACCTTATTGCAAGCTGACGTACAGGTAACTGTATATATTACACATGTATAAGATTTGCGAAAATATAAATCATATCAATTTTTCAAAACCATGTAGTTATTTTATTATTATTATTATTATTATTATTATTATTATTATTATTTTTAATAATATATTTTGTTGTTGATTATTGCCTTGTTTTAAGTTCGTTCTTCTGGGTATATGTTAGTGTTCATCCGTGCTGTTCTGCAGAAATTAGAAACTTCAATGGGGGCGACAGGAGAATGTTTCTAATTTCTGTAGAACAGCTACAGATGAATAATAACATACTTTGTGTCAAGCTTTATTTGGTTTCAGAATATTCACTTTATTACGTCAAGACTATTTTATGAACGCGGTTCTATGTAATAGAAAGAGCACCGAAACACGAGGTTATCTGATTTGTACGAGGGGGCCGGTAGCCCCGAGTATTAATCAGATTACGAGTGTTTTTGGTGTTCTTTCTCTTTTGTATCATAGTCAAACATAAAAACACGTTCCCTGTTGTCACACAATATGAAACCCCGGCAAAATGAACAATGAACGAACATCAATTGAATATGATATTTCTGTCGCTTTCCCCTTTCCTCTATTTCTTAACGCCAGCAAAAAATGAGCCAATCAATGGGCATGCTTTGGAGTGCGGGTAACTAATACCCGCACTCCAGTTAACGCACGGTGCATGTATATGTATACGATTTAACCCTGACACATTTTCAACAGAAAGGTCTCCGAACTATGATACAAGAATAACTAGGCGACTTTGAATTAAATTTGATATAGTAGACTTAAATTTTTCTATGAAAACTAACAAACATAATTTTTAAGAAATACAGCGTTTTCATTGGATGATAAATAAAGCTGGACACTAAATAGATATACTATGTCGAAGATGTAACTATTATCTTCTCCATAACTACAGGGCTGGGAATCAACCCAGGCAAGCAACATATACCGAACGAAGCGGAAAATAGTGTAGCGTGTTAATACATATATCTGGTTTTCAATCATTTCCAACAAAAAAAGTTATAAACAAAAACATACATTTTTCGTTCCAAGATGGCGGCGTTTGTTTACATTTTGTAGGATACGACGCAGTTTTGATTCCCAGCCCTGAACTAGGTCACAATACAGTGTTTCAAAGATAATATACATGTATATATAACGGCTATTATAACTTGCATACGGATGCAATAATTATGATAGAGTAATGTATATGCTATTAACATATTAAAAAAAAACTCTGTTTAGTGTATTGTATTGTGCACTGCACGTACAGGTTATAGGCTATATACCGAGTTTTAAGAAATTAGTTTTTTAAAACTCTGTATGTTATAACCTGTTAGAATCGAGTGAATTATGTAAACAGGCGGAGTCTATTAAATCGGCTCATTTAACGTATAAATTTAATACATATAGTTGAGTAAAAGCACTGTTTGGTAAATATTTCAGGAAAATTTAAGCAAAATAGAGTGATTCCATTTGCAGACAAATTTTGGCAAACTGTTATGCATTTTATTGCATTTATTGCAGTGTGTTGTGGAGTGGAGAGGAGTGAAGTGGTGCTGTGCTTTGCGGTGCATTTATTGTATTGTGCAGCATTTTGTTTCGTTGCACATTGTATTGAAAAATATTCTATTCACAATATCTTAAACTGGAAGTAGCTTTCGGCTTCAGCCGACAGTTTTCTTATTCATTGTCACGTGAGGGGAAACCATTGTGAAGTCATTATTGGGAGAGTAGCAAACAAAGGCGCTGCCATTAAATGGGCCATGAGGACCGAACGCTTTAAAGATATTTTTAGAGATTTTGTAAAAACCGGAAATGTGCGAAATATGCCGGATGTTGACGACTGTATGATGCAAATATAAACAGTTTTTATGATGCAAATATTACAGTTTTTAAATGTTTAAAAAACTTACCTTGACAATGTTTATTACTGAATTTTAGATCATCAATGTCGATAGAACCTAGAACTTTGCTAGCAGCAATGACAACATTGTAATCGTTCGGTACCAGGGTATTCAATATAGTAACAGCAGCTCTCACCCAATGTCCACGCCTCGTATCCGTTGCCTTAAACATCTCTGTTCTTTTATCCCGGCATTGATCCTGAAAATTGCATCGATACTTATATTATACATTGTATAGGATATCACATTGGTCAGCGACTAAACATGCCTTGATCACTTTCCTTTGAAAAGTTTAGCTGAAAGACAATTAAGGGCGGTGACAGTGAGCTGTGGTCCAGTGGTTTATTTTTCATCTCCATCCAAAAATCTAGCTTAAGATCCTAAGCGTACTTGTTGTATTTTCTAATCGCAGATCAGAAAATTCAATGCTGACATTCAATCTCTGACACAGAATTTTCACGACAAACATAACAACAAGTAGTTCTCAAAACAGCTTAAAACTAGCGATGTAAAAGAGAGAAATATTTTTATTTTGTTACAAGTATCCAACAAATTACAACGCATTCAAAGTTTAAAAGAATATTGAATTGACAATAAATGCACAATCACAAATTACGCGGATGAATAGCATTTTAATCAATGAAAATGCTATTTTTAGCGATGTCGACAGGGCGTAGTACACAAATAAATCTGACTGTCGAGTAGTGGAATATATACATGTCGGACTGTTTACTGTTTTGGCGAGAAGATTTTCGCTAAATTATTTTCATCAGTGTTAAACAACAGGTTTACCTCGAAATTAATAAGAAATGGAAATTCTCAATTTAGAATTACAATGTATTTGTTTTCATCCAGGCCAACTACGTGGTGCAGGGGTAGCGCGCTCGTTAGGGTGTGAGAGGTCTGGGGTTTAAATCCTAGTCGAGGCAACTTTTTTTTAAGTGTCATCTTTAGGGACGGAGCCACGATATGCAAGGATAAAGTGTGGCTGTCATAAAAAAATGAACATAAGTGATTTTTTGATGCAACTCTAGTCATGCAAAATTCCAAATGTATAAATCTCAAACTGTTATAGTAAAAAATATAAACGCAGTCGCTGCGTAAGATGAATTATGGTATATAAAAATAAACTTATACAGGAAAATACATACAGAAAGTCAGTATGCTTTAGATTGCAAAGATCATAAAATACCACAGAGCTTGCAGCCCTTTGATTTTTATACTGTGATAGGACGGAAAGTCCACCAATAATCCGGCAAAGAATATGGCGTGATCGTATCCTGTTATGTAGCATGCCTCTAAGTAAATTGAAAAACAATATATAATCTATTAAAAAACCAAATATCAACTTATAAACAAGAGGGCCATGATGGCCCTGAAGTCGCTCACCTGGAGCGGGCAAGTTTAAACCCCAGGGCTTTTATTTGAATAAACTTGGTAGACACCTATTAGAAGATCTTTCATGCTAAATATCTAAGGTCTAGCTTGTTGGGTTTTTTAAAAAAAGATTTCTTAAGTTTTTTTTTACACATATACTATCATTTAAAAACAATGACACTCCTGGGGCAGGGCCAGTTTTGACCCAAGGGCTTTTATTTGAACAATCTTTGTAGACACTTACTAGAAGATGTTTCATGCCTAATATCTAAACTCTAGCTATTCGGGTTATTTCCAAGAAGATTTTTAAGTTTTGCTATACACATATAAGGAAAATCAATGTCCCCCGGGGCGGGGCCAATTTTGACCCCAGGGCTCTTAGTTGAACAAACTTGGTAGACATCCATTAGAACATGTTTCATGCTAAATATCTTAGCTCTAGCTCTTTGGGTTCTTTAAAAGAAGATTTTTATGTTTTTACTATATTCATATAGGGAAAATCAATGACCCCCTGGGGCGGGGCCAATTTTGACCCAAGGGCTCTTATTTGAACAAATTTGGTAGACATCCATTAGAACATGTTTCATGCTAAATATCTTAGCTCTAGCTCTTTGGGTTCTTTAAAAGAAGATTTTTAAGTTTTTACTATATGCATTTAGGAAAAATCAATGACCCCCTGGGGCGGGGCCAATTTTAACCCAAGGGCTTTTATTTAAACAAACATGGTAGACACCCATTAGAAGATGTTTCATGCTAAATATTTAGCTCTAGCTCTTTGGGTTCTTTAAAAGAAGATTTTTAAAGTGTTTACTATATACATATAGGGAAAATCAATGACCCCCTGGGGCGGGGCCAATTTTGACCCCAGGGCTTTTATTTGAACAAACTTGGTAGACACTCACTAGAAGATGTTTCATGCCAAATATATAAGCTCTAGCTTTTTTGGTTTTTTAGAAGATGATATTTAAAGTTTTTTCTTTTGGTTGCCATGGCAACCAGAGTTCTGCATGGAATTAAATTCTTTGAAAAAATTTTAAAGGTGACCACCAAAGGAACATTCCTGTGAAGTTTGGATGAAATTGGCTCAGTGGTTTATGAGGAGATGTTATTTAAAGTAAAAGTTTACGGACGACGGACGGACGGACGCCGGACGAAAAGCGATCACAAAAGCTCACCCTGTCACAAAGTGACAGGTGAGCTAAAAACTAATTTCGAACATAGACTACCTAGTAGTTTCCGAAAGTTAAAGTTTAGCACTTCGCCGCCGTCTTGCCGAAAGATTTAATGATTTCATGCCGAGCTACGGTTTGAGTTGCACGGACGGTTAAGAAAACAATACCACGTGCTTTTGACTGTTGATTTTTACTATCAAAAATCAATAAAGGTGATTTCTATTTGTATATATTCCGTGTCTGAAAAATAATCTAGTTAAAATGTTAGCATTTTCTTGTTCAATAAAACGTGTAGAAATATATTGTAGCATGATGTTTTTTAATACAACAAAGGATATATACCTCTAATAGAGCCATCGACACTGTTCCAGATCCATTTATAGATATCCGGTACCAAAATTCAAAACAAATGGTTTGATTGGCTGGTAAAATAGGTGAATGCAGTTCAGATCTTACGCGAGTTTTTGATTGTATCGTCAGATATGTTCCATTTTCTATAAATAATTAACAACTTTTGTTAATTATAATTTGAAAGCAGAAAAGGGGATACGTAAACATAACGATGAATATTACCTTTCTCGGCTTTCACGCTTTGTGAAATGTAGCCAATGAACTTACAGCATTTGCACCACGTGATGTTCCAATGTAAATAATTATATTTAGTGATGCTTATAATGGATCACAATATTTCTATACTTTCTCTTTCATCTTAAAACAGTGCAGACTGTATAACAGCCAATGATTATCAGGCTGGTAAAAGACAATAGTATCGACGTTTCTTAATGTGCTTAAAGAAACAGATGACCTGCGAATATGTACACTGTGTTTTGATTTATTTAGGAAACAACCCTTTTTCAGAACATTGCTCCCTTTAATTTGACTTTAATGTTTATTGTTTTGTTCATCAATCACTCTGATATGGTTCAAATAAAATGAATGCATCGATGTTTTTGAATAGACTATATGTTTTTGAATAGACTAAGTGTTAACTTAAATATGATTTATGTTATTATTTGCTAAGAATTGTCCGAAATTTGTCCTAATTGTACTCATACTTACTCGTTCCTAGGGAATGATCTTCAAGTCGACCGTGCTCTAGTTTCCATGGAATATAGTCAACATGAGGGTATCCATACAACTTATTTTCCCATTGACATAAACCCTGGTTTTCAAAAGTACATATCACTGAACTCCCTTAAACAAAGTATATAAATTATTCGTTTTACAATTTATCCATTTCTTCATATAAAACAAAAACAAGAAACATGGCAATGCCATGAAACCAGGTTTTCAATTATCACCATTGTAGATAAATATGTTGTATTTGAAATACAAATACAAGCAACAAACAATGTAACTATGTGCAATGTAAAACATGAATAATGTAGGAGGAATTGCGCACAGAAGAAGTGTTCACTATATATATATTCTGTATAAGGAAAAAAAACAAAGGGCCATAATAAGGTCAAATATTATCCAATCACAAAACCCTGACAATATGCGCCAGGGCACTTGATGACAAAGCTTCTGTGAAAGTTTGGTCAAAATCCGTTGAGAAATGTAGGAGAAGTTGCGCACTGTAGAAATTGTTCACTATATATTCTATATATGGAAAAAAAAACAAAGGGCCATAATTAGGTCAAATATTATCTAATCGCAAAACCCCGACAATATGCGCCAGGGCACTTGATGACAAAGCTTCTGTGAAAGTTTGGTCAAAATCCGTTGAGAAATGTAGGAGGAGTTGCGCACAGAAGAAATTGTTCACTATATATTCAATATAATGAAAAAAAACAAAGGGCCATAATTAGGTCAAATATATACCAATTGCAAAACCCTGACAATATGTGTCAGGGCACCTGATGACAAAGCTTAGAACTGAGAAAGTTTGGTCAAAATCCGTTGAGAAATGTAGGAGGAGTTGTGCACAGAAGAAATTGTTCACTATATATTCTATATAAGGAAAAAAAACAAAGGGCCATAATTAGGTCAAATATTGCCAGGGCACTTGATGACAAAGCTTCTGTGAAAGTTTGGTCAAAATCCGTTGAGAAATGTAGGAGGAGTTGCGCACAGAAGAAATTGTTTACGCCCGCCCGCCGACATACCTCAATCTAATAACCAGTTCTTTTGAAAATAACCAGTTTTTTCCTTCGGAAAACTTGGTTAATAAAATGCTTTGATTAATGAAATAATATTATATTAAAACAAGTTAAAATCATGTAAACAGGATTTTCAATGTTAATGTCACTGTGACCTTGACCTTGGAGCCAGCCATGCGGAACATGCGTTCTGCACGTCATCTTGATGTGGTAAACATTTGTCTGAAGTTTCATCAAAATTCTTCAAAGGGTTGAAGAGTTACAGAGCGGACACAATTTCGTTTGACGCACGCCCGCCTATCCGCCCAGCCGCCCATCCGCCCAGCCGCCCATCCGCCCATCCGCCCGCCATACCCCAATCTAATAACCAGGATTTTCAAAATTGAAAACCTGGTTAATAAACAATGTTGAAACATCTGTCATATCTTGTTTACAATTCAGAAAATTGTATGTAGACATTTAAGAGTAAAATAGTACTTATAACATAAACTTAACATTTTGAAAGATAAAACTTGGCTTTATTGCAAGAAATTTATAGCTTTTGAATGTGGCATGATTGTGGCGTCCCTCAAGTACCACACGAGACAAACACCGGAAGTTCATCAATGTGTCGCGTATATCATCAAAGATCTATCAATAGCGAAAGCAGTATGCTACAGTAATATAATAACAGATTCAATTGTAAATCATTCAGAAAACAATTAACTAAATTTTGTGTCCCTATTGGGCAAAAAAACGAAAAGGTAAACATGAACAGATTTATAACAGTGTGTATATGTTGAATATTGCATACCAGTCATGATTATCTACATGTACCGCAAACTCCTCACAGTGATTACCTCCCTTGGCAGAATTGTAATCACTGCCTTCAAAGACGTCACATGATGATGAAAGTCACATGACGTAACGTCGAAATTCAAATGTAAATATTGACCGTTACAAAGAAAATCTAACGTTATTTTTCTCTTTCTGTTTTATTTTTTACTTTTAGTGCCTACGTTCCATATAGTTTATTAAAAAATTATCGAAAGTATACAAAATAACGAAATATAAATTCAAAAGCTAAAAAATATAAAATATCAAAATATCGTCTCGGTAGAAAATAATCTCATAATTTTTAAAATTATTTCTAAATATTCATATTATTTATTTATTTATTCATAAACATTGTTAAATAAATGAGAGAAAACTTATCTGATAGATAAAAGCAGTAGATAAAACAATTTTTGAAAAAATATAGTATATCAGAAATTCTGATATATTGGGACCTTGGTGGCAGAGATCTACGCCGAAGAATTAAGGGGAGATCACTGTGTGGAGATTGCATGTACCGTTTACACCGTCTCGTGCTTTAAATGACGTCATTCCCGCGCGCCTTTTATGAATGAATTGCGTCCTAAGAATGACGTCATCTACAGCTATGAATGAAGTTGTAATGTCATAAGCTACTCAAAGAAAAAAAGTGCTAAATGAAAATATCAGTTTTCGTAATTTCTTTCCGAAATATTATTATATATGATAATTATTGTAATATGTAAGAAAAAGAATCAAACACTTACTGTCGTAACAGACCGGAATATCTAGCTCTCGCCCGGGTGTTAAGCAGAAACTCGACAATGCCTCGTTACTGCCGTAAACAGTTACCCTCGAGCTAGATATTCCGGTCTTTACCGGCAGCCGATGTAAGATCCTTATACACACCGTATTACCGGCGGCAGTGATGGCAGATCACTGCAGTGATGGCAGATAGCTGCAATTTACCGCTCGGTACAGGTAGGTTATAAATTTGGTTGGTATTATTATATTACACAAATACGGCCAATTTCATTGCTATGAAACTATTGTCCATTGACTGGAGATACTATTAGGTAATTTTGGACTCGTTCTTTCCTGTTTTTAGACTATTTTGAGCAGGTTTAAAGTGACAGCTTCGGAAAAATCCGTGAAAATGTCTGTTTTTTGTTCAAAATATCTCAAGTTTTAACTAAATGGCAGGACTTTGTGTTATTAATATAGACGTTCATCAATTGGGGTCACGCAAGCCAAATATCTACCCCGTGAGTCTTTTCTTGAAAGTTTTACAGACGTTCAATCTGGTCCGGTCGAAGAAAAAATGCTGCCGTTGTGGGCAGATACTTATTTTAAATGCTGCCGTCGATGGCAGAAATACCATGAAAGTGGCTAACATTCTGACAGAAAATCAAGGTCAATCTTTTCTCAATTCCTCTATTCTTTGCGTTCTTTTAGTCGGAATTGAGACGTTAAACTATCATTTCTAATATTTTCTCAGGATAGAAAAGTTATTAATGCGGTATGTGCATCGAAAAAGCTTTTCAGCAACACGCAGATACTATACAAAATGTGATGATTCAGTACGACCAAATTGCACTATAAATAGAGCAATTAAGATGAAGAAACTCAGTTTTCTATATTCATGCATGTGTGCTTGATCTGTTGTGTCTGTCAGTTACATGCATACAATACCATATGTATCTTAAGTTTAGCAGCGCATAATTCACTGCCTTTTCAAGACATAACGCCATTTGCATATTACAACTGTAACTTCAGTAAGTGGACATTAATTTCTCGAGGTCCATCGCTTTATGACATATAAAGCCTGAAATTTACTTAGTCGGCGCCAATGCTGCATATTATAAGTAACTAAATCGAGGTAATATAGGGAAGATTATTAACATTGCAACTGACAAGATCTGTGGACATCAGTGTATCATAAAACAATGTATGTTAATGTAAAATGGAGATTAAGATAATATTATCGACACTTCAAATATTTTCCTATATTATCAAGTTCTTGAAAAACACGACAACGTGGATTCATTTCTTTAAATTTTCATGTTTGAAATCGCGTTGTAGTTTGTCTTTGAATTACGTTTACTATGCTAAAATATTAACAACAGTACTAAAATTAAGGTGGACATACAACGCGATTTCAAACATGAAAATTTAAAGAAATGAATCCACGTTGTCGTGTTTTTCAAGAACTTGATAATATAGGAAAATATTTGAAGTGTCGATAATATTATCTTAATCTCCATTTTACATTAACATACATTGTTTTATGATACACTGATGTCCACAGATCTTGTCAGTTGCAAGGTTAATAGTCTCCCCTTTATTACCTCGATTAAGTAACTTATAAAGCGATGAACATTATTACCTCGAGAAAATAATGTCATATGCAAGCAAATGAATATCCACTTACTGAAGTAACAGCTGTAATATGCAAATGGCGTTATGTCTTGAAAAGGCAGTGAATTATGCGCTGCTAAACTTAAGATACATATGGTATTGTATGCATGTAACTGACAGACACAACAGATCAAGCACACATGCATGAATATAGAAAACTGAATTTCTTCATCTTAATTGCTCTATTTATAGTGCAATTTGGTCGTACTGAATCATCACATTTTGTATTGTATCTGCGTGTTGCTAAAAAGCTTTTTCGATGCACATACCGCATTAATTACTTTTCTTTCTTGAGAAAATATTAGAAATGATAGTTTAATGTCTCAATTCCGACTAAAAGGGCGCAAAGAATAGAGGAATTGATAAAAGATTGACCTTGATTTTCTGTCAGAATGTTAGCCACTTTCATGGTATTTCTGCCATCGACGGCAGCATTTAAAATAAGTATCTGCCCACAACGGCAACATTTTTTCTTCAACCGGACCGGATTGAACGTCTGTAAAACTTTCAAGAAAAGACTCACGGGATAGATATTTGGCTTGCGTGACCCCAATGGATGAACGTCTATATTAATAACACGAAGTCCTGCCATTTACTTAAAACTTGAGATATTTTGAACAAAAAACAGACATTTTCACGGATTTTTCCGAAGCTGTCACTTTAAACCTGCTCAAAATAGTCTAAAAACAGGAAAAACGAGTCCAAAATTACCTAACAGTATCTCCAGTCAATGGACAATAGTTTCATAGCAATGAAATGGGTCGTATTTGTGTAATATAATAATACCAACCAAATTTATAACCTACCTGTACCGAGCGGTAAATTTTAGCTATCTGCCATCACTGTAGTGATCTGCCATCACTGCCGCCGGTAATACAGTGTGTTATATTTCGATGGAAACAGACACTTTGGCTGTGGAGCTCAAAATTTGTTAAAATATAATTATAGACGTTGAAATATGATTTTTTTTTCTTTCAAAACAGCTGAAATTATAGACGTTGAAAAGTGATTTATTTTTTCAAAACAGCGTAAATGCAGTTTTCTTATAGATATGCCTGTATGTGCTGGCATTGGTAAATATTCAATTATTGGGATTTTAACGCATTTTGAGATCCACACCAACGTGTCTGTGGAAAGAGAAAAAATATTGTATACATTTGTAATAAGATCTAGATAAAAAAGTAATTTAGTGACAGTCATAAAGAAGATCATTGTAAATCCTCTAACCGCTATTTAAATAGCATGTTTATGACAATAGATAGGAGGTACATATCACGTCCTTTTGTCAATAATATATGGATATAATTCTTTATTCTTAATTCGATTTTCATTCGCGCGTATTAAAGCAGATGTATCTCACTACTGTAAAATATGAAAAGTATGAAAATATCTCTTTAAAACACATTTGCCCTATTCACTGTGGATAAACGAAATCACTGCACCAAATCATTAAAGCTTATACAATTCATAGCACCTTATTCTTCCGATCACTGTACCTTTCTTGTGAGCCTTAATATGTACCTTTCTTGCGTAAATAGAAAGTAGACTCGTTTATATACAGGTAGTAGACTCGTTTTTTCACAGGAAGTAGTCTTGTTTCTACACAGGAAGCAGACTCGTTTAAACACAGGAAGTAGTCTTGTTTTAACACACTCAGGAAGTAGACCCGTTTTTACGCGGGAAATAGACTCGTTTATACACAGAAAGAAGTCTTTTTTTTACAGAGGGAGAAAATTACATTTTACAGAGACTCATTTTTACACGGTGAATTGTTATATACTATTGTTTATTAGAAAAAAAAAACAAAGTGAATGGGATTCGTATCATTCAGTCATTGTGTTTGGTGAAGGAATATCTGCACTCCCCCAAAAAGGCTAAAGAACAGAAAGTTGTTTATATTACAGATGTATTAATATGAAAGTAGGCAAAGCCTAAGAACGGGGGAGTCAGATAAAAAATCGTTCATTTTTTATTTTGCATTTTCCGTTTTAAAGTGTCATTTGGCATTCAATGAACTGCTTCCGTTTAATCTTGTTCCCTTTCCTTGTGCGCAGGGGACCAGTCTACGCAATGTCATCCGTTTTAATCAGAATCTCTCGATTTTTATTGTTACATCGTTAGTCGAAACGATGCGATTGGTCCATTACCGAAATACCCTACGGTTATCATTGCGTTAAAGCGCCCAACAAGAAAATGATACTGAAAAGTTCACTGATAGGTATATAATTCTATATATTTTTTTATTTTATTTATATTTTATTTCCTTTTAAATTAACGTATAGTCTATAGCCGGGCAGTAAAAGCCTGGTACCAGGGACCCTATCTCATACTCACATACGATTTCTACATTAAAATACTCCTCAGACTCGGATTCTGACGATTTGCAGATGTAAGTTCCGGCATCACCAATACCTGCAGTAGCCAAGTAGAATACACGTATTGTATCTGAAAACACAAGAACTTTGTTGCTGTGTATTGTTGGTAAAGGCCGAGTATTGTTATAATTATGTTCATGTAATGTATTTGCTACAGTAAGAAAGACTTATAGTAGATTAAAAATCAATATTAGACTTGCATGAGCTTAGAATAATATGAAATTAGGTGCTACATATGGCGCGGATGCTCTTATGCATAACATGTTCAGTATACGTGTAACCAGATCTTTATGACACTTCTTAAATAAGTAAATGCATGTTTTTGTACCGTTAACAGAAACGAATAAATAGGCGGTGTCAACCTATCATCGGAGTGGTAAACAAATTAACTAAAATCTACAAACTCCTTTCAGTGATTATCGCCGATTCTCGATGGCAATAAGGATTTTATGCCCACATAAAATAATTTATGTCATTGACCTTGCTCTCCTTACTGTACAAAATTTTACCCGTTAAGTGTCGGGTTTTAGCTTAGCAAGATTTATTAAATTCTAAGCCAATCAATATCAAAATCCAAGTCACGTGATGCCGATTAACCAATCATTACATTAGATCAATCACAAAGAAATAATTTTGGCGTGGAAGGTTCCTCGCCATTCTTTATTAAGAAAACCCACCTCCTCCGACTCCATCCTCCTCTTTCAATTTTTCTTAGGATGTAGATACAATCGTTTCATTTATTGTTTATGAATATAATTAATGCATTTTTATACTGTATATGGTTTATGCAAAGATTTGTCAAGTTAGTCATTGTCACACTTTTGCTTCAAATACTTGAGCAACTAATCACGATGTACATTTTTATATATTGTTATGAAAGATTTGTTAAGTAAGTATTTGTACTACGAGTTAAACCACTAACAGAAACAATATCTACATGTAGTTAGTGTGATAAATATTTATTACCCCTCACTTTTTTCGTAATGCTAATTTCCCATAGGTCTCTGGGAGTTATTTTTACTGTTAATGCAAGTGTACCACGTGACTAAGAATTTTGTACTGTTACATAGGTAACAGTATTTTAAACAGTATAAAATCTGGTCACGTGGTCTATTTTCTAAATAAAATGAAATAAAATGGCCGCCATTCTTATTCTTATTTTCGTCGGTAAACCCCGATAGGACATCAATTTCTTCTATGGAGTATCCATGACACCCATAAAATTTAGTAGTTCACACCCTGGTGTGCTTTTCGTGTTTAAAATATCTTTTTGTCGAATAGTCAAAAAGTGAACATCCGTTTTCAACGGAAGTACTTGCAACGTTAATAACAAGAAAAATGGTTTCCTGCGGGGCACATTTTTAATGATATAAAGATATTTCATTTAGCTATTTTCAACATTGTTTGGGGGGGATTAATAAACGTTTGTATCAGGAATATAGTTGACAATAATCGATCAATATAGAAGAAGGTCTTTGGAAACTGATGACCGAAGAAGGTCGAACATAAAACAATTATTTCTTTTTAAGAAAATTATTTAATAGGCCTACCATTTTATGAATAATTCCGAGCAAAAAAAAAGTAAACACACAGGTTTACGCAGAAAATATCTCTATTTATTATGACAGATGCCACTACGAATATTTTAATTTTGTAGATTTTTAGTATAAACAATTTATTGTTTGTAAAATTTGAGATACATATTAAAGAAACATTGATAAATTTCAAACACATCATTCAAGTTTTTCAACCTTTAAGGGTAAAATAATTATAGAAAATTAGAAATATCACGTAATCGTTTTTTTTGTTCTTAATTATGTCTTATTCTCACTAATTCCCTAGAGAAATCCGTTACGTACCGGCAAACGGTATTTATCCAGGTTTTCGAAAAGGTCAGTTAACCAATCATATACGGTTTACAGATCACATGCTCCTCCATGTACCGAAAACAGGTCACGTGCTCCTCCATGCCTCGAAAGTTAAACGCGTACCAATACCCTGCGGTCTCCAGACCGCAGGGAATTAATTGTCAAACTGGAACATGCAGACGATTTAAGCATGCATCAAAGGATTATTTAACACTTCTAATCAGTGAAACGTTACAGAGATGGTGGACAGACATAGGATATCATCGTTATTTTGTCAAAAACCATGCTAAGAATATTCTGGAAACAGAAGGATCAGATTTCACAGATCATAACTGTGTAAATGGGTTAGTGTTTGTTTTCTAAATAAAACCTAGCTTATTGTATGTTTATGATTTGTAGATATCATCACTTGCATAAAGAATAAAAGAAAAAGGAAACTTCTCAAGTAGGCCTAAAGTACACTTAAAACTTGAAAGGTAAGGACAGTTTAGTTATCATTGTTACTCTTGATTTTTTTGTTACAGTTAGATTTAGTTGAAAATTTCAGATCATCGCAGTATTTTTGTTCGGGGTAATAAAATAAATAACACATGGGTTTGTGAGTAACAGTAAAAATATCATCCCTCGTAAAATACTGTTACCCTCGGCTACGCCTCGGGTAACAGTATTTTCCTCGGGATGATATTTTTACTGTTACCTACAAACCCATGTGTTATTTATATACTGTTATTTATCAAGTTACAAGCTTTATGATCATGAATTCACACACAAGTATATATCATAAAGTTATTTTATCAACCTTTTAACTTTCAACTTGTAAAATGTCCCCAAATAGCCTCATTTTTTTCCAAATAAAGGTCTTTTTTTCAAATTAACTAAATTTAGGCATACACACTGACACATTCTTCAGAATTTAACTGAACAACAAGATATTTGTTCTCACTTATGAATTATTGAAAAGATTGTTTTACTTTTCTAAGGATAGGAAGCTGCTTTAGGTCTGATTTAATGTGCCACAATATAGTACTGAATGGGAAAAAGGCAATTCTTAACATTAATATTTTCATTCTATATGTACCGGTACTCAAACAGAAATACATTTTGTTTTTACAATTTCATGTCCATTTCTTTTATTATTATTATTTTGAATTAAACTGCTTTGACTCTAAAAATACTTCTTCTTTATATAATGTAAACAATGAAAGTAAATATTTATGATTGAACTCAGATGAATGAAAGCATTATTAAGTATATTTAGCATTATACCTTGGAAATGGCCATGTGGAGATATTATTCAATATCTCATCCCCATTGCTACTCTTGATATTTCTTAGAGGGGAGGGAGGGGGTTAATAAATAAGCAATAAATAGAGGGAGGGAGAGAGAGATTTAGACCATTATTCCATTGTTAAATGAGGATGTATTTTATTTATTAAATAATTTATTCAGACTTTCAATGTAGATGAGAATATTTTACAAAATAATAATAATTTAACAATAGATAGAATTCTAGAAAACATATCTGGACACTTTTTAATTTTCAACCAGTTATAGACTACATGTATACATTTATTAAAGTATATATAGGCTAACTTATTGTTTGTTGGGTAACAGTCATATACTATTCATTACATTATGTACATATATTGAAACCCTGGTTTACCTACTTCAATGACATATAATAAATATAAACATATATAAGCATTTTGTTGTTGACCAACTTGTTTTATTTACTTTATAGAAAAAAATTGGATGAGGGGGGAAGTGTCTTACTGATTTTGGGGGGTGAAGTGTCTTAAGGGGTGAAGTTTCTTCAAAATTTGAGGGGTGAAGTGTCTGGGGGTGAGGTGTCTTGCTACCTGACATATAGCCTAGCTATTCCTAAAGCTACTGGACTAGTATAATGTTGGCCAGCCTCACTGACAGGTTCCAATCATTCATTTAAGTGTCAAGTATTTTTACTAACAAGATACATGCATAAGTAGTACAGTTATTATATAAGATGTAAGAATTCCTAAACATAATATTGTAGGGTATTAAATAAAAATAATACAAAATTGAAGTAGAGGTAAATTAAAAATCATTTTTGATTGTTCATGAATTAATTATGGTAAATTTAATATGACTATTGTTTTCTTTTTCATAGTTATTGATCATTTAGTTTTTTCTCTGTTAAGTAAATTTACTGCTGGGAACCAAGTTGATTTTGCATTTCAGTGTTGTGACTAGTGAGAATTATAAAACATGTTGAATGTTTAAAATAAAGGATGTCAGTCATACAGTCACAAGAAAGCAAAGTGATTTTGGTTTTTTTTCATGTTTTTTTGTTGTTGTTGTTGTTGTTGTTGTTAAGTTAATAAGCAAGAACTAGACCTTATTCTATTATTTATTTTGCTATAATATGGTAAACTTTCAGTAAAGCTCTTCTATCATGAAACATAGCTTTGACAAATGCAACAAGATTTCCCAAAGGTGACTGATATGATATTTAGTTACTGAAACAGAAGTTTCATATATTATATAGAGAAACTACAGAGAGTAGTTTGGGGCAAAAATCATTCAAAAATTACATCTGATGTTACACAAAATATTTTGGGTTCGAACGTTTTAGGTACGAATCTGATATGAAATATATGCGTCAATACTTCTGCATCGAGTGGTTCTTGTATGAAAATATTAACATTCTAACCATTTTCTGTCCCAGTTGACGGATGATTTTGATATTTGCTCATTTGCAGTACATTTTAATTTGTAAACAAAGCCCATAGCAACCATGCGGTCTCACTAATTACCGACAAGAACCGTCAGTAAAAATGGAAAAATACGAATTAATTTCACTACTTCATCATTTTATAATCACAATTCCTAATATTTTTGCATGAAAAACATAATAAATTCGTTCTGAACCATGTTTATAGGCAAATAACTATAGCGACAATATTCGTGGTATACTTGATTTAAATTTTATTCCCGTGACATCAGTTCCGAGGTCATAAACTTAAGTTCATCCTACGTAAAAGTTATATTTTGTACATTTGTTTAATGATGATATGTAATTAGTGTGGTGACAATTAACATCTTAATTGAAAATTTGAACCGATTTTAACTCTACTATCAAAGTTTTCGATTGTAATAAAAATGGAATCGTAAGCCATGTGTTAATAAATTTTGACATATTCCGCGAAAATAACATAACCGGATATAGAATTTATTGCATGTCGGGATTAGTTTTGGTTAGTTTAACCAGCGGTTAATTTTAACCATTTTGGTTTGTTTAACCATTTTGGTTTGTTAACCTTTTGGTTATCTCGGTTTATACAAGTGACTAACCAAATTGGTTAGTTAACCAAAGTTGGTTAAATTTAACCCACGGTTAGCGTTTAACCCAGGGTTAATTTAACCAACGTTTATACAATTGGGTTAATTATATACTAAACTGTTGGAAAATATATGCCAACGTATGCACAACGAAAAAGATTTTTCTTGATGTCATTATGAATAAAAGAATATCAACATACGTCTAGCAAAGTCAGAGTTATGAAACCCATGACAGTCTGTTGGTTTTATCCAAACCCAGGTGAAATAAGGAATAGAATCACTACAAGTTAAACTCAACGAATGACCAAAAGGTATTCTGACGAACTTTAGTCCACTACTTGTAACTTTTACTGAAAATAAAAGAACAAGAACTCATTTTGTGTTCCGTAATTTAAAGATGGCAATAAAAATCAAAAGGGCCAAGATGACCCTAAATCGCTCACCTGACCCATCGAACTCATCCGAACAATTACCTAGACAAGCATTCTGTCCAAGTTTCATGACAGGTGGGTCAAAAAAGTGACCACAAGAGTGTTAACAAGGTTGTTCCATATTTGGGCAGTGTGACCTAGTTTTTTACCCAAGGTGCCCTATATTCAAACTTGACCTAGAAATCATCAAATCAAACTTTCAGATCAATTTCCAGGATATTTGGATCAAAACAGTAGCCACTAGAGTGTTAACAGGATTTTTCTATTTTTAGCTCCTTTGACATAGTTTTTCATCCGAGATAACCCATGTTCGAACTCATCTGAGCAATTACCTAGATAAGCATCCTAACCAAGTTTGTTGACAATTGAGTAAACAATGTGACCACTAGAGTGCTAACAAGGTTTTTCTACTTTTAGCTCCTGTGACCTACTTTTTCATTCGAGATGACCCATGTTCGAACTCATCCGAGCAATTTCCTAGACAATTATTCTGACAAAGTTTGATGATGATTGAGGCAAAAATGTGACCACTAGAGTTTTAACAAGGTTTTTTTTATTATTTAGCTCCTGTGACCTAGTTTTTCCAACCGAGATGACCAATGTTCGAACTCATCCGAGCTATTACATAGACAAGCATCCTGACCAACTTTGATGATAATTGAGTCAAAAATGTGACCACTAAAGTGTTTACAAGGTTTTTCTATATTGAGGCGGTGTGACCTAGATTTTCATCCAAGATGACCCATGTTCGAACCTGACTTAGAAATCATCAAAACAAACATTCAGACCAACTTACAGGCATTTTGATCAAAACAGTAGCCACTAGAGTGTTAATAAGATTTTTTTGTTTTTAGCTCCGGTGACCTTATTTTTCATCCCAGATGACCCATGTTCAAACTCATTCGAGCAATGACCTAGACAAGCATCCTGACAAAGTTTGATGATAATTGAATAAAAAATGTGACTAGAATGTTAACAATATTTTTCTATATTTGGACAGAGTGACTTAGTTTTTGACCCAAGGTGACTCATATTCAAACAAACTTTAAGACTAATTTACAGGATATTTGATCAAAACAGTAGCCACTAGAGTGTTAAGATTTTTCTATTTTTAGCTTCTTCAACCTAGGTTTTCATCCGAGATGATCCATGTTCGAACTAATCCGAGCAATTACCTAGACAATCATCCTAACCAAGTTTGATGATACTTGAGTCAAAAATGTGACCACTAGAGTGTTAAAGCAGCACGCCTCCAGATTCATCCTAATTTTCATGAAAATTATGAAAATGTATTTAATGGTAAAATATTGTGAAATGAACAGAGAAGGACGGACATTCAAATATCCTAAAAGCTCACCCTGAGCTAGCTTATGTGAGCTAAAAAAACGAAAATTCAGCGTTATGGGACCTGTGCTCATCACGTGAGAACTAACGTGAGATACAAACTTCCAAAAACTAAAATGAATTATTTCTGTAAAAACATGTAAATAATAATCAATCTTCAACATGAGTGCAAATATGCAAGGCATAAAAATGACAAAAATGCCAGTGTAGAACAGTCATGTTAGCCCAATAGGTAGAACGTTTAACTGTGAATCGGGTGACCTTGATTCGATTCCCGAAAAGTGTAGGTCACATTCGTTGTGATTGATTAAAAAATCCTTTCGCACCTAAACATTAGATACTCCTAAAGATCTGCTCTGGCATTTACAGAACTTATCAGTTCCTTGCGAAAGCGAAGAGAGTAGCACTAGTAAACTCCTTGACAGCCTATACAGGAATTATGCGGTGGCTGAACCACTGTTGTTCAGCGTTCACCGGAAATAGCTGCTCAAAAAATCGAAAACCAAAGTAAAAAGGTTGACGGAGATCATGTTTCAACTTATTTCTCCATCATAACTTTGTCTATTTTTCCAAACTAAACAATTTTATGAAGGTTAATAAGTCTGGTTTTAAAGCAGTATTTGCTTTTTCTGCAAAATGAATACTTTTACCAAACTCGCGATGAATTGCAGCGTTTCTGTTGACTTTGTAAGTCATGTTTGTATATACCACTTAATCAAGCCCAAACGCATTTTCTGTATCAAAATCCGTCTTTTGTACAAAATGTATAGAGGATATCCAAGTTTTTTTTCTAAAGATTCAGTATTTATTTTCATCGAGTGGTATGAAAAGAAATATGTCATGAGTGACGGTAACCACGAGAGAAATATGATAATTTTCATACCACAAGATGAAAATAAATCCTGTATTTGTAGAAAAAAAACTTGAATTTTCTGATTATTATATACATTTTCTCTTATTTCAGATTTTGAATGACTCTCCCTTTAATTTTGTATATTAATTTATCTGTATATAGCAGAAAGTAGTCCGGCAAGACACCAGAGAAAATACGGAAAATATGTTTCACTGCGGTAAAAAAATAATTTTTTACAGCGAAAATACGAAAAAAAAAAAACGCAATTAATTTCATCCATATTTCTCATTATTTCATTTATATAGAGGATATTTGTGAACTTTAAAACCAGTATTCTCACTCGTGGCTACGCCACTTGCGAGAATAATGTTTTTAAAGCCCACTCGATGAAATAAAATTACATCTTACACAACAAACAAATTTCTTTTTATCTTATGCTTAAAAACAAATTAAAACGAAATTTCCTTAATATTAACGTTAATATTAAAATCTGTTTTCCCCATTGAGAGCCTCATTTTGTCGAATTTTAGTCAAGAAGTCTTGGGCTGAAAAAATAAGTTCGACAATCAACTTTAAATGGCGGTGATATTATTCATTTTATTAAAAAATATGAATGATCGCTTGTTTAAATAATAAAAACAAATAATTCTAATAGAAGAAAAAGTCCAACCATCCATCCATATTTCTGTTACTTACTGCGATTTTATATTAGACCCGGCTCTGTTAAATGTAAGCGGTCGCCATTTTTTAAAAGTTGTGTATAATTGTGTTTGATTCAGAGGGATATCATTTGGAAATGTTAGTCATACACCTTTTTAAAAGAAAGAAAACTTATTTGAGGATTGTAACATGCAATAAATAAGTGTTGACGGATGTGTAAACATTCAAAAAGCGGCTAGGTAATTGGAAAACTTGAAATTGTTGAAACAGTTGAAAGGCTGCCCTACGAACGATGGGTTGTTTACGTATTCTTCGGGCTATTGGCTGTCATTGTTTTTCAAGTTTTCATAAAGCATACGGCAGTTATTGCTCGTAGGATACTTAAATATGCCCAAATGTCATCAAGAGCAAAAATAAAATTGAGGTACCACATGGGGAAAATCTTAAACATGTAGTTTCGTCATTGAAAAGTATGAAACTATATTTTGATAATTTTCACTGTGAAATTATCAAATATAATTTTCACGGATAAATCAGTAATCCACTGAAAAGCATAAAATAAAAGTATGTAATAAAGACTTCTCTCAAATTGTATTTCAGAGTTATCCATCAGCTCCAGCTGCTTTTAGGAAACATTTGCGAAAAACAACATTGCCTTGTGTACAGTCTAGCACGGTTGTGTACGAGGTGGAAAACTGTTAACGGGTGTATGTGATGTAGTAGTTAAACGAATGGTATTTTTAATTTCCTTTTTAATGTTTTTATGCGCTATTTCCGGTGAAGGATGAACACCAGTATGTACTATGCTCTAGTGAATTTCAAGTGGCTTACTGTCGTAATTCGAAGGGTAAACTACCAATTCAACCACCAAAAAGTGTCAGTGCTAAAGTTCTGAAGTATGAGTGTTATATATCTACAGTATTATTCCTTGCATAAAAGACTATTGAATCTCTCGTCGCGTGCGCTTGGGCATTAAATACGTCATCCTACTTCTACATATTTTAATGCACGAAAAAGGCGCGTAAACCCTCTATTTTCACCTGAAGAATGATGTTCTAAATATAAAATTATTTGTCGTTAAAAGTAGCAACATGGAAGCAAAGTAGTATTTTGACTTCCATTTAATATAAGAAGCTAATTACGGTTAAGATAATTGGCCAATGAGTTAATTTTTGGAAACTATAACAGGACGCAAAAAAAATAGAAAAAAAAGCCTTTAAGAAATAGAAATAAACTCATTTCTAGGGATTAATAAACATGTAAATAGAAATGATATACTGTTACCAATCTCGCAACTGGAGCCAGAGAAACCGGCTGGACACTGACAGTTATATGGGTAAGTTTCTTCTGTGCAGGTACCACCATTGTAACACACGTTGCCATATTTACATCTATTAATTTCTGCAATGTTTAGAATCGAAAAGCATAAATCCACAAACATCAAATCTTAGTAATTCAATATATAATAAATAAAAAACTATGCATAAGCTACATATCAGCCCTTATTCATTAGACAACCCACCCTCATCTTCAGACCAAGTCCTCCCTCCAGACACAGTATTTTCGAGCCAAATAACTGAAGAAGTGTAAAGAAGCTGTACAAATAAGAGTTAATTTTTTAGCCCAGCCATCAGTTGACATTTGCAAATCGAATGAACAGACTTTTTTCAAAAGGAAGCTGTTTTAAAAGAGAATTCATTGATAACAAAGAACTCGATTTTTTTTGCAAATCAAAACATAAGGCACCATAAGTACATACAGAGCTAAACAAGCTACATAGTTACAAAAGGATTACTTATTACAATTGTCTTTAACTGAAAATAAAAAAATGTTAAGGATAAAATATAACAGCTTTCATAATGCATATCTAAAAAGACTTTGACTTTTTCGATACTTTCTGAAGTGTATCTATAGAATTTACAGGTTACAAATATATATGAGACAAATATATATTAGATATAAAATTGGAAAACATTATTTGATTGCAATGGATTTCCAAGCTTGCAATATCCCAATTGTAAAGGTTAAATGTATCGGTAGGTCAAAACACCAAATTGGTTTGAGGTAAGGTCTCAAACGAGGTCAAATGTTTGCCATTGGCGTTTAGGAGAAATGTAAAAAAAAACAAGTTGGTCAGAGGTGAGGTCTAAAACGCCGTCAAATGTCTGCCATTGGCGTTGACGAAAATTATTAAAAACCATATTGGTCAGAGGTGAGGTCTAAAATGCCGTCAACTATCTGCCATTGGCGTTCAGGAGAAATATTACATATAAGAACAATATTGTTCAGAGGTAAGGTCTAAAACGCCATAAAATGTTTGCCATTGGCGTTCAGGCGAAATGTTGAAAACCATGAGAGTGTTCATGGGTAAGGTTTATTACGCTGTCAAGTGTCTGCCATCGGCGTTTATAACTTATTGTTCTCTAACCGACTGACACAGACGTTTACACATCCTATATGACTGATGGAAGATTTCATTCCATCGAGTATCGCACGTGTTTGAACAAAAGCACGCATAGACACTATTTCAACACTTTGATCAAACATTTTGATGTCATTGTCCTCAGGAATCTAAATATAATAATTTATATAGGAGTAAATTGATCAGATAAATAATCAATTCAAACTTCTTTAAATTATAAAAATATTACGATTTTCATTTGAGTTTTAATAAAACAAGTTACCTATCTCGCAAATATTCCCTGCAAAGTCTGGTCTACACAAACACGTGAAGTCTCCTGTACCATCGATACAACTTCCGCCGTTCAAACATGGCTGAGGCATACATTCGTTGCCATCTAATAAATAAAAGTTGTTGAACAATTTCCTCACAAAATTAGTTGATAGTCAGATAGTGCTGGGGGAAGGAAGGCTCAGTGGAACATGTAAGCAAGGACTCATTGGTGTTAATAATCTGATGAGTATGTGGTTAACTAGTCTGGTTCCCTGCCTACATTTATTATAACGTAGTGAAAGGGGAAGGAATTCCTGTCTAATAGTTGACCAATCTCCGCGCAGTGATCTCCCCTTAATTCTTCGGCGTAGAACTTACAAAGGGAAGCGACCGCTGCGAGTTTAGTGGTTAACGTGTTAAATAAGCCACCACTTGTCTAAAAATTTAATTTTGACAATACATGTAATTGATAAATGTTTAGGTCTGTCGTGAATTAAAGCTGATGTAAATTGTACAAATTTCAAGAAATTTTCTGATATACCTGTTGTACTTGATAAGTACACTGTTGTTGCATTTTTTATCACATTTATTCTGAAAAATTAAATAATATACTTGTATTAATATTCGTCATATATTTTGATGTATAAATAATAAACATTATGTTTCAGATTCCAATGGCATATATTTTCTTTTATTGTAGCTCATGTACTTTTCCCCGATATTCTTGCAGAAATTCTGACACATATATTCATCAAAATATTACAGCATAGAAATGAGCCGCGTCATGACAAAACCAACATAATGGGTTTGCGACCATGGTTTTGTCGTGACGCGGCTCAAATATTTCTGCGCGAAAAAAAAACACCGATGGAGCAGGTAATATTTACCTAGAACATGCTTATTTTTCGAATACTGAACGATGTAACGAAAATTTACCCAAGTAAAGTTCACGGTTACTTGTTACACGAAATTACCCACCCTGCATTAATATTGCGGCAATAAGCATTTGCTGTCATTGAAAATTAAAGACAGTCATTCACTTATTAAAATATAAATTTCGTATCGGATGATGAAAATTAAAAATAGAAATGATACGCGTCAATAGACTATTTCTTTTTTTTTCAATAGTGATTAAAGATCAACATGTTTTGAGTTTATTCACGAAATATATGCAGTTCCGTATAAAATATCATTTGTATATTAAATGTAAATTTGACTGAAAATTATTTACCCATTGCTGATCACAAAATGGACAACTATCACAGCTAAAGCAAGTATCTCTGAAATAAATTTAACATTTCAAAGTCTAAAATTAAACAATATTTTGGTGTTGCATTGAATCATTTTCGCATTCTTGCATTATCGGTGCAAAAAGCGAAACGACGACAAAATCAGGCAAAAATACGTACGACACACAATATGTTTTTTCATGTCACGTCTTTTCTCTTTTGCGACGAAAATGCAACAATACAAAGATACGACAAAAACTTTCGCATTGTTGCATTGTCTCAATTTCGGTTCGTTACACTGTCACATTTCCACGGTCCGGTTGTACAAGCACATGCACACATCAAATTAAAAAACGAGCTTTCACTATGTGATAACATTTAGTCTTCCGTGTAAATATTCTAATATTTTTGTAAATTCAGTTATTAATCAACTTACTGGTTACATAATATTGGACATATCCTGTGCATATGTGTAACGTATCTGTACATGCGGCACCGTTACACGAAAACGCGAAAAATCAACTAACAAAACAATACAAAACAAATCAACGCTGCGAAAAATCAATCGGGACACCTCGACGACATCTCATAATAATCTCGGACTTAATGCGGATTGAAAACAATTCTACTACGTGGCTTCAGATGTAAACAAAACAGAGGATGATTTTTTATGCTCCCCGAAAAATTTCGGGAGAGCATATAGTCGCCGGGTTGTCCGTCCGTCCGTCAGTCAGTCTGTCGGTCCGTCTGTCCGGGTGAACATCCAATGGTCTATGAACTTCATTCCGTCCATAATTTTAGTTAAAAAATGAGGTAAATTTTACTGGTTTATGGGGAAAAGTGCCACATAAACCAGTAAGAAAAAAAAACACATAAACCCAAAATGTTGGCAAGTCAGTCCGTCCGTAAGTCCCGAATTCGTGTCCGCTCCATACTTTCGTTATTTGAAGTCGGATTTTACAACTATTTCACAAAAATGATCATCATATTGAGATGACGCGTCGCGCGCAACATTTTGGTCGTTACCTTGAAGGTCAAGGTCACAGCATGACCTTGCAGCAAAATCGTGTCCGGCCCATAACTTTGTTATTTTACAACTATTTCACAGAAATGATCACCATATTGAGACGACGTGTCGCGCGCAAGTCGGTAGATAGATCTCATTTAGTAAAAGTGCAGTGCAAAGACCAGTAACTCTGCCTTGCCTGAGTTTGAAATTATCACACTTTGAACTTTGTCTGGGACTACAAAAGATATACTTTTCTGTGTCCAAAACCTAGTCGGGGAGCATCACCCGGTTCAACAGGCTTTTGTTTGAATTATGAGTAAGTAATTATTTTACATCCAATGGAAAATAAAGTCAGTTTCGATGACATTATGATTGAATGCATAGTATCAACAATTTTTTACCAAATCTGAAATATCATTTGTACTTTCGGTTTCTTAGACTGTGTCAGTCGGTATATAAACGCTTTAAATCTTAGTTTAGCCAATTTAATTTGGTTAATCTTTACAAATGAACACTAATGAAGTTAATGTTTAAAATATTTTTTGAGCAACGTTTTTACTAGACTGATTAAAAGTCAGCCGATTTTCTTAAGTAACATGGCAACATTTTTTTTGAAATAATGCAATCCGATGGGACAATAAATAATTTCAAACTCTAGATTAGCTTTGTAAAGTAATACTATGCAAATTAAGTGAAAGCTTATAAAATGATTAAAAAAACAAATGCATTGATCAACTTACGAATTTGCTCCGACATGTTCAGCATTTGGTTTCTTTCCTGAATTGAATGTGACAAGCGCAACAGGTACACTCTTTTGATAAGAAACCGGGCCTTATAAATGACCTCTTCTGTATTTTTGCATGGTTTACTAAATTAAATGCGTATTAAGATCGTTTATCTAATCAAAGCCATTATCTCTCCAAATAAGATTGAAAAACATCCTTGTGTGTAGGAAGATAGTCACGTAGGTTCCTGAACGTTGCCATTTTAAAGATATCCGTGTACATAAATATAAACAAGTGCAAAGAGTCAACCATTACATTCAATGTCGTACATTTTGGTGCAGTATAACATGTAAGGGAGTTAAAACTCAGTTAAGTGTTTGAAGTTATTTTTGTCCAATAGGATTGCAGTATTTCAAATATACCATGACACATTCACCATAGTAAATCGGCTTTAAAATCCCAAACTTTCATCAGTTAGTAGATATCGACTGTTTAACAAGACCCCTATTCGCATTTTTGAAGAGCAGGCGAAAGTGGTAAGAGGCGTGACTTTTTTACGCACTACAATACAATATGAACATTATTACATTTGCACTAATATGAAATAAGGCAAAGCCTCTGAACGGGAGGGTAGTTAAAAAAGTTTCTTTCATTTTTCTGTTCTAAAGGTGTCATTCGTTATTTCATGTACCGCTTCCGTTTTCACTCGGAGCACTCGACGATAATTAATCCGAAAAGTTGAGATTTGTTCCATTATCGGAATACCCCGCCTATTATCTTTGAGTTACATTGTAAATGGCGGCGACCAACTAGAACTGACACTGAAACTTTCTTTGATTGGTATAGAATTCTTTATATTTTTTTAAAAAAAAAATTTAAATTATTTCATTTTCTTTTGTCTATAACCGGGCAAGCAAAAGGCTTTGACTTCCCCGTATTACACAATGAACACTCTTTACCTTTACTGTTTACCTTGCTCTTCTTACACAACTAATACTATTTACTTAGTACTCCTTACACAATGAACACTATTTGTGAACTACTGACCTAATGAACACTTTTTACTTCGTACATCTAGCACAATGATCACTATTTACTTTACACTATCATCAACAACTATGTACTACTCACGCAATGAACACTATCAAATATGCTCGATGAACACTTTTGACTAAGCACTTCTTACACAATGAACACTTTTGACTAAGCACTACTTACACAATGAACACTTTTGACTAAGCACTACTTACACAATAAACACTTTTGACTAAGAACTACTTACACAATGAGCACTTTTGACTAAGCACTACTTACACAATGAACACTTTTGACTAAGAACTACTTACACAATGAACACTTTTGACTAAGAACTACTTACACAATGAGCACTTTTGACTAAGCACTTCTCACACAATAAACACTTTTGACTAAGCACTACTTACACAATGAACACTTTTGACTAAGAACTACTTACACAATGAGCACTTTTGACTAAGCACTACTTACACAATGAACACTTTTGACTAAGCACTTCTTACAAAATGAACACTTTTGACTAAGCACTTCTTACACAATGAACACTTTTGACTAAGCACTTCTTACACAATGAACACTTTTGACTAAGCACTTCTTAAACAATGAACACTTTTGACTAAGCACTTCTTACACAATGAACACTATTACCTTAGTACTTCTAACACAATAAAACAATTAACTTTTAAATACTAACACAATGAGCACTGTTAACTTTACACTACTTACATAGTTTATAGTTTTTAACTTTCTACTATTTACAAGCACTACTAACATAATTAATTATATTTATTTTGCATTACCAACCTAATATATACTATTTAAAGGCACATTATTCCTCGGAAATCTATATATTGCTAACTAACTTATGTACACAGAGTAAATATTAATTACTAGTTATACATTACTTACTGGCAATACTTACACAGTGTACATTCCTTACTAGTTATACTTTACAGTAGCAATATCCGCACAGGAACGTTACTCACTGAGAAATATCAATGGTTTATTTTCTAAAGAATAAAATGTCCACCTTTTTTTCTCCATTCAGACTATAATCCTTCGAAGTTCACTAGGGATCATTACTTGACAGACTTTGACAGTCACATAATTAAGCTGTTTGCAACCTAGAGTTCTTTTCTAGTCTTAAATATCGTTTGCATGAACAGTAAAAAAGAGAAACATCCCTTTTTACAATCCCCCACCCTGTGATCTCTCCGTAGTGTAGCCGGTGCGCGGAGTGTGCCATTTTCATCGGTAATCTCATCAGTGAAACATGAAATGTGTTGTAGACCTTTCTACGTTGTGTACAAGCCTTTAAGAGTCTAATGAATTAGACTAACATGCATCCTTGCTCTGTGCTTTGATATATCAGGACTATCTATACAAAATTTAAATAATAAGATTGTTTACAAAATTTGATTTATGCACTTTTAAAGACGTTTTCGGTAGTTTAATCACTATGTGTGGCTCAACGGTTTAGATTTACCACAATTACTATATATAATTAAAATAATTTATAATAACATATGCCTCGGAACGAGGTGCCTCGCCCGTTCGTGCCTGAAATAATGCACGGAAGGGCACTCCACCATTAAAGCTGGAACGTCGCCGAATGACCTATACTGTGTCGGTGCGACGTAAAACAAAAAAAAAAATCCAAGTTACCTTATCCGTGGCCATTCATGCCAGTGTTGCAGAGTCTACCCCTCGCTTTCGTAGAAATTCCTCGATATGAGACTCCATCGTGTATACCGCTTATTTCATACTAAGGGAAGTAACTATGTGTGTTATCCATTTTTGAACAAGGAAATGGCGTAATTTATACTATGGGAGATAACTATTTCTATAAGGTGTAACTGTTTTGATTGGCTTAAAAATATGTACGAAAAACTTAAATAGAATATGTACACAAAACTAAAAAAAAAAGTTTCAAAAACAAAAAAGATAAAAAATGTGCGAAAAACAAAAAAAAAAGTTTCAAAAACAAAAATAAGAAAAAATGTGCAAAAACAACAAAGAAAAGTTTCAAAAAAAAAATGTGCCAAAAACAAACAAAAAAGTTCCAAAAAAAAAAAAAAAAAAATATAAAATGTTCGAAAAACAAAAAAAAAAGTTTCAAAAACAAAAAAAAAATAATAAAAAAATTGCAAATGTCACTTTTATGCCACCGTATTTTATGATAAGATGTTGTTGTTTTTGTTTCCTTACTTTAAAGTATCTAATTTACTTATGAATCAATAAGGAACGATCTACTAAAAAGTTTATTTTTATACAAATTGATTTCAAGACATAAAATGCCAACTTCGTATGTAGTTCGCTTTCTAAAATCACCAATCTCATCCTGAAAAACAAGTACATAAACAGGTTAATTATTTTGTGATAGAGAAATTCATAGTCACTGTTTAATTGATTAGTTGGTTTGTTTGATTTTAAATCACATCAACATTGTTACCTCATTTGCACCTTTGTGCATTATTTCAGGCACGGTCAGGCACATAAGTAGATTCAGAGACATAACATAAGCTAGCAAGACAGCTTTCTCACATGAATGAATCCAAAATCACTTCAAACCCAATTTGTAAGAGGAGAGTGGTTTAAAATCGTTGACGAATACAACTCGTTCATTGTTGTGCCCACTAATCGCTGTTTAAGGTATTTATTAAAAGTTGCATGTCTTAAGATGAGCTTAAATGTTTTAAGAACATATAACTTGAGAAAATTGTACTTATATTTTAAGAAAAGTAAAACAATTTAGGATTAAAGTAATAATTTACATGTTATTTGTTATTTGCGCTAAATGACTTATTTTCCTATTTTTATCACCATATTTTTACTGCTTGACTTACGCAGTAAGGTCTATATTCTATCTGACCTTTTTTGGTATTTTCCGTAAATTTCAAGTGTTATTTTCAAGGTGTGAATTACTTTCCTTGTTCACTTGACAGTATTTTACTTTTTAATACATTTCAAAAATGTTCATGAAATTAGCTTGAACCTGGAGGCATGCTGCTTAAAAGTAGATAAAATATTATAACAAATATTCATAAACCAGAATGTCGTTCAAAATTACACAGCCCCAGACAAAAGTTGGTCACACCGGAGCCACCCAACAAGGCCTTACACACAATCACAGTAAGAAACACTCCAAGAATGTAATCTTTAAAATATCTTCTCATTGCAAATACTTTTTTTTTCAAGGATAGGGTGACGTTGAGCAACCTGATAAATGACATAATAAGTATTGTTCTTTAATTGACTACATTTTACTTTAATTTACCAACACTGTTATTACATTTGAAAAGACCAGGGAAAGCATGTCCTGTGTTTAAAGGGACTCCAGTGATGATTTTTGACATGACGTGACTGGCAATAATTTTTCGAGATTAATGATTCTTTTGATGTCGGTATAGAAGAAACATATGTGCAAAGTTTCAGATCATTCGCTCATTACGTTTTTCTAGAGTGATTATTATAATTGTGTAAAATGACCATAAAATTAATTAAAAAACCGTTGCAACTCATTTCTCTAAAATCGGACTATATAGCTAAGCATAGCACAAAAGTACGATTTTCATTTTATTTTGAGGATAGTTCTAAAATATATTTTGCATATTTGTCTGTTTTAAGTGTCCAAGCTGATATACATTACAAATTCAAATTTTATGTTTTCTGGTTTTTGGACCTCGGTGGAATTCCTCCTCAACTCACTTGTGGAGATCATAGAGAACAAAACAAAAATACAATAACATGTACGATACAATACGTACCAATAATCGGAAGTCCTTGGTCACCTACAATAAATTATATCATTCATAAGTAAAAGTAATCCGCGTTGCCTTTACTTTGTTATGTTCGGAAAAAAATTGTCCTTCTGTCCGTCAGTATGACCTAAGTACGAACATAATGAATTTTGAAAATACGAATTTAAATTTAAAAGTGTACTTTTAACAAATTAATAGCTTCTTTTACTTATTTTCAGGCTCGTAAATATATATTGATACATGTATTTAAGAAATGAAAAAAAGTACTGTAATATTCTAAAAGGAATTACATATACTAAAAACATAATCAGACGTACAAACATATATTGCTTTTATTTACGGCTGAAATACCTTTTAATAATAGGTTTGTATAGAAATAAGTTTGCTGATACAACATAATAGTTACGCGCAAACAGGGTTTTATATAATAAAACAAAATAGATTCTGAACTATGGGGAATTATTTTATAAGGATAACGAATCTTAAAGAATCGGTAAATATCGTCATATTACGGATAATATCGTTCTGCATCCGGGGGGAGATTTGTCACGAGAGCGCATGTGTACTATTATGACGTCATTATCTAAAACGATGGCCCCTAACTTAAGGCTCATCCTCAAAATGTAATAATTACCAGGACTTGTACGATACAGAAAGGTGACGAAATGTTTGCCGGCTGTTAACGACTTTATGATACAAATATTTCCTAAAACGATATTCAGTAAACTTACCTTGACAGTGAACATTGCTGAATTTAAGATCGTCTACATCAATAGAACCTTGAAATGACCGCCGTCTGTCTACAGAAAGGACAATATTATAATCATTTGGTATAAGATCACGGGAAATAGTAATATCAGCTTTAACCCATTGTCCATTTGTGTTATCCATTGCCTTAAACATCTCTGTGCTTGTGTGTAGGCATGAATCCTGGAAAGAGACATAGTGTCATTTGAAAATTTACTAAATAAGTATGACACAAATAGCTAAGCATTGATCGTTTAGATAAATTGTGAAACATGCAATGTATTTTTCTAATTTAACATTTTATCTCTTAAACGACATATTATGTCTATTATTTATTTCATATATGTATGCTAATAAGTTACAATATGAAAATGCAGTCATTTCCAACGGATGACTTACATACATCCATTACATCAATCCGGATTTATAGCTTGAGTCGATTGTGTACATTTAACGTGATAATAATTCAAAAAAGAACAAACTCATTTCGTGTGTTGTATTTAGGCGTTTTCGTGTTATAAAGACATTGCACTTGATCCCAAGTTTCGTGAATTGTTTGAGCTATTTTGGGCCTTGACCTCTGTTTCATCATTTCACACGAGTAATAGAAAGTTCAAGAGTGGTTCAAAAAAGACAATACGTTTCTTTGCCGCTAATCTAAAATGAATGTGTTTAAACTAGTATAGATTGGAATTGTAAACAGACAGGGTTAATTGTGGTCCATGTTTGTGCTTTTCAATGGGCATACTTAGTTATGGTCACTAGCCGTTTTCCATGGAGAGTTGGTAGCTAGTCAAGAAGGCATCAAGGAACTTTTCTATAACAATTATGACAGGTCGGATGTCCTCCTACATGTATGTATAATTGTTGCACACATACGACCTCACCCTCTTTCAATAAAAGCTGGAGAGTTGTATTTCAGCTAAAGATAACAAAAGAATTATACCTGAAGATACATCAACAAAGCTCCAGAACCATTAAAGGATATCCGGTGCCAAAATTCAAAACAAAATGGTTTGATTGGCTGGTAAATTGGCTGACGTCAGATTAGCGCTTGCGTCATTTGTCCCAGGAGTGTCCGATTGTACTGTCATATATGTACCACTTTCTTGAGATAAAAATGTTCGCGCCTTTTTATTGTTGGTTTGACAGCATTTTTATGCAGTTCATTTTATTTTTATCATATCTGTATTGTGTAAACAGATTAAACAATATGATGGTTCTCATATTTGCGGTTAATTGTTACTGCCTTTATATTGTTATTACAACTGGCTTTAAGAAATGAAATAAACATTAAAAATATTGTTGCTTTTAATGTTGATATGATGTTTGTTTGTTTGTCTTGTTGAATGTCAAGTCACAACGGAAAAGCCAAAAGTCTCTGACGGGATTTAAACTCACAACAGTGAGGGGCAGGTGATTTAGATCATTGACCTTAACCACTCGGTAAAGGGCGCCCCTTTTAACTTGTGGCGTGATTTGTTGACAATTGAAATTTATATGAGCTGAACGTCTTGTTGCTTAAGTAATAACATATTGATTCCACTATTTTCACATTGGTCATAGCTTTTGCAGAAGTGGTGGGCCCATCGCAGCGGCGGTGGAGTATTCGTCGCAGAATAAAATGTGGATAAAATATGGCCTTTGCTGTTGTCGGTAAGTTGATGACTGAATTTTACTTTATGTTTTACTGGAAACTCATAGTGAGACTGGATCCCACATATGTACTCTTCCAACTTATTACAAACGCACAGTGTAATTCATTGCCATTTATGCAAACACTTCTGTACCGTTGGACGAGGAGATGTCATATTAGCCAAATGTTGGTTAAATTACCACAAATGTGTGCAAAAAAACGACCACTAAATACACTGGCATCGCATTGTATGAATGAAACTTGCACACACAAAAAACATATATTGGAACATTTGGAAATTGTTATTGAATAGAGACAAAAATGATTACAACGCAGATGGCGGTGGATTCGATTGCAACGCAGTGCAGTGGGCCCGATATCATTCATGTCAATTTTAAGAGTCCAACATAGCATATAACGCACATTTCAATCGAGTACAACTATTTTCTAATTTGATTTTAGAAAAAAGTGTTTATTTGTGCGTTATATGTTTTGCGCACCGAAGCTGTGATAAACCCACCGATTTTGCGAAAGCTATGGCCAGTGTGATTTTTGTAACTAAGTATACATTTATAATAATTATTTTATATGATTAATTTTCATGCAGAGATGTACTTACTAGTTCCCAGGGAATGATCTTCAAGTCGCCCATGCTCTTCTCGCCATGAAATATAAGATCCGGTATCGTCCCATTTACATAAAGCACGATCTTCAAAAGTACATATCTCTGAACACCCTTAAATATGTAGAACAAACTAGTAAGGAAAAATCTAAAAAAGTGGGATATCTTTTGAAAGCAATGAAAATAAACAGAAAAAGTTCTTGTTTTTTTGTGTTTTTTTTTTCATGAGAAAAAAAATGGATAATATACTAATTATACATTTTGCTATTTTTAGGTCTCACTCGAAAAACATTTCCCTAAAGCAAACACCAGACTGCGTGATGTCATGTAAACTTCTCTACCAATCCCAAAAAGTGACTATGTCACGCTATGCTACTGTATTTTCAGTGGAACTAGTTTCATAGCACTGGGTAAATGGAATCATTGTACATAACATGTATTGCGATTCTTTATAATTCAGTGCGTATGGATTATTCTAAACACAAGTACCTGTTATTTACTAACACATTATCATAATTGTGTAGGGCAAGTTTATTGGTCAGTCATATTTATTACGCATACATACAATTCGATGTAGTGTTTATTATTTACTTATGAATGAAATATTGAGAAATATTGAAATAAAAATGCATATTTCAATTTTCCGTATTTTCATTGAAAAAAAAATCACTGCAGTGAAACATATTTTCCGTATTTCGCTGGTGTCTTGTCGGACTTATTTCTTCTAAATTCAGTCAAAACACAAAGTTTAGGGGAAGTCTTTCAAATTATCAGAAAAAAGAAAAATGTAGATAATAAACATAACATTCAAGGTTTTCTACAAATACAGGATTTATATTCATATTCACTTGATGAAAATAAATCTTGTATTTATAGAAAAAACTTTAATATCCTCTATTAAATTTATTGTGAAAGCAAGCACCTGGTCCCGACTTGTTCGATCAGGATCACGACAAAATCTAAAAACTCAAATATTCTGTTTATCTTCTTAGATTAAATATTTAATATTATCTTGATAAAACAAAACTTGAAATAGTTTACAGTTTAAAGTCAGTTTTACTGAATTTGCCGCGCATGACGTCACATACTTTTACGAATATGTCACATTTTTAAAATGTTGTATGATTGTGCAGATATTCATGTGATTTCTCGAAATCTAGCACATTTCACTGATTGCGGAGGGTATTTCTGACGCTATTAACACTTACATTAAGTTACAAATCAATATTGTGTATGTTTCCCTGAATAAAACGATACGATATTATTTTCATCATTCTTTTAATCCGCATTTAGATATAGTCATGCTTCTGTGAAAATTAAATTTTAATTAGTAAATTCACCGAGAAGTTAATACATGTAATTTCACTACATGTAATAAATCAATATCATAATGTGATAAAAACTCTCCTTTATCCAATCAAAATATGGTCGTTGCATCAGAAAAAAATTCACACACAAAAATATATTTGAGCCGCTCCATGACAAAACCAACATAATGGGTTTGCAACCAGCATGGATCCAGACCAACCTGCGCATCCGCGCAGTCTGATCATGATTCATGCTGTTTGCTATCGTTTTCTCTACTTGTTATAGAGTTTGTAAGCGAAACCCATTATGTTGGTTTTGTCGTGACGCGGCTCAATTATCATTTATTCAGGACTACATCTCATACTCACATGCGATGTCAACATGGAAATACTTCTCCATCTGTTCCAATGTACAAATATACGTTCCCGCTGCCCCTATATCTGCATGCGTCAACTTGTACGTGGAATAATGCCCTAAAATTAGAAAACCCACAAGTTTGTTGGCTATTGATAGGATAATTGTATTGACATATTTATTTTTAAATATGATTCAAAATGTTTACGCGATCTGATTGGACGTCCAGTTTGGCTCGTCCAAGCAGCATAATTATCCAACAAGTTAAAAAAATACCGTGAAACAGAAAAAAAGGATATTGATATTCGTTGGACTTGAATTAGGTAGGCTGTGGAATTCTAGTTCGTTTTATTGATGTTAATGAATGATGCAGCCGGAATGCGCCTTAATCGCCGAAACGACGATTTACCGTGTGCAAATGAACATTATAATAGGCTTTCCACATTTCTATAACTAAAATTTTAATTGATAGTGGAAAAATTTATTATTTATTTATAATTTTATAGGTGGTTTTGTATTTGGTATCTTATAGTAAGCCTTAGAGTGTTGAATAATTTCTTTTCATCTCTTCGGGGTTTTAGCAGGGGTCCAGGGGCAAGGGTGGGTGTCCAAACACTTATACTGCCACCTGTGAATATATATGCATATATATGCATAAAAATCTTAATGGTTATTATAAGGTCATAACTACAAAAGTAGATAAACATACGAATGTAAAAATTATTATTATTATTATTAGCATGAAGCTGGTAGCATCCTCTAGATTTACGCCATTGGAATGATGTCCTGTAACTATTAGTACTGTCAGAAAGACTGCAGTTCAAATTCAATGGATCAGCCAACGGTATTTTGATAAATTCCTCTCTGGGACCCACTATGGTTTGTTTTGCTGAAATGAGAGAAATGTAAACTCTTTTTCAGGTTATGTAATAGGCCGTTTACAACTCCGACCAAAATATAATGATTAATGCTACTGAAACATAACAAATTTTATATCAATATGTGTGCAAAAACGTTTAAACAATTATTGAAGATTCTGTATGTTGTACCTAAGGTTGTTACCACATTTAAGTGAAATTTTATATATGTATAAAATTATGATTCTTAAACAATTTTCAAACATCGAAGAATATGTAAAAAATGTATTGCAATATTCCACTGTCTGAGGACTATGTTTATGTGTTTTTGTTGTTGTTGTTGTTGTTTTTGTTGTTGTTGTTTTTTACATTTTGGTAATGATGTGGTGTTTTTAGTGTTTGTTTTGTTTGTTTGTTGTTTTTTTTTTCTTGTAATTGAACATCATTATTATAAGAAGTAGTAGTAGCATCAATATAATAATAATGTTTTGCGTTTTTAGTTTGTACTTATACCAGCAAACTTACACTGTTTAGTTTCACACAACTTTCCGTCGTACCCAGATGGACACTCGCACACAAACTGGGATTTATGTGAGAAACATGATCCACGTACGCAAGGACTATGTATGCAAGGATCCATTGCTAAAAAATAGAAACAAAAAGTGAACATTTTTTAAAGAGAACAATTTTTTTTTTTTTTTTTTTTTTCGCTTTTGTTTTTTGTTTGTTTTCTTTTCATATTATCATTAATATTATTATTATTATTATTTGCGCCATTGCATGTTGTATACTTAGTCAAAATTCATTTTACAAAAATAGGTGTCATTAAATACTTACAATTATGTAAAAACTCGTTAAAATACAGTTAGGAAATTTGGATTGTATTACATTCCAGCCCCAATGGAACTTAATTTATATGTTCTAACCCCTTAAACACGAACGCTACAATTACATAAACACATAGGCAGAATGAAATCTGTGAACGATTTTAGGATATAATAATATAAACATTTAAAGCGAAAGAAATAGGCAACGATAACCAAACTTCGATATTAGACATTAATCGCGAAGCCGTTCTTCCTTATGAGTTGTTGATTTTTAAAGAAAAGGAATGATCAATATAAGATTTAATTTTCATATATATATATAAGTTTTTACATCTGGTCATTTGCTGATAAGGTTAAAACAACTTGGTAAATTACCATCCTGGCATCTTTCGCCAACGAAACCAATAGGGCACTGACAGGACATTTTACCAATTCCATTCACACAGGTACCGCCATTGAAACATGGAGTGTTGAACCGTGAGCATTCATTGACGTCTGGTAATAATGTATGACATGTCAACAAAATAAACGTAACACACATAATATTTGAGCCGCGTCACGACAAAACCAACTTAATGCGTTTGCGACCAGCATGGATCCAGACCAGCCTGCGCATCCGCGCAGTCTGATCAGGATCCATGCTGTCCGCTTACCATCTATATTACAAGTAGAGCAACTGATAGCGAACAGCATGGATCCTGATCAGACTGCGCGGATGCTGAGCTAAGTTTCAGCCCATCCCATCCTTTTCACTACTTTATTAAGAATTCTCTCTATATTTATCATTTTTCTAAGGCTGTGTAATAAAATCAAAGATATAATTAAAAATTCTTATGAAATAGAAAAAAAAGTACACGATTTTTGTTTGTTTTGTCTTTATTTGTACCTTGACATATTTTAAATCGGATATCTACCTATCCCAAAAATCAAATTAATTCCAAGAATTCGCTTCCAGAAGTGAGATATACGCACTCGCGCATGGATATATAATTATTTTTATGCAGTCGCATCTTCTCGGCCCATTCGGATAAGGTTATTACATGAATAATAGCCGAGTTGTTTCGGTTGTAACGTTAACATTTTGACGTCATTGATGACAGTTACTTCAAAGCATTATGGTTAAATCAAACTTTGATAAATTATCCAATCAGATTTGTTTTAAATATAATGAAAATATTTTTTTTTTTCATTTGAGTTTTAATTTAAAAAAAGACTACCTCTCTGGCATAACTCTCCCGTAAATCCTGGTCTACACTGACACAAGAAGGTTCCGACACCATCGATACAACTTCCGCCGTTCTGACATGGCTCTGAGATACACTCATTGTCATCTATATAATGATCAAAAGGTGTTTAAATACAGAAAGTTAATGTTTACTGTTAACATGGTTAACACTGAACGACAATCTCCTCCGTGGTCAGAGATAGGTCGAGAGGGCTCGGTTGTCGAGTGGTTAATGTAGCTCACTTGCCCTCTCACTGCCATGAATCCGAATCCCAATTGTTTTATTGTTTTTTCTTTCGAGGAAGATTTCAGGTAGCAATCTAAAATTCGATGGTGGCTGATTATTTTTACGCAATGTCGTATTTTCGCTCCGCGGGGGCGCCATAGGAAAACATGAAAAATACGACAATCAAATCAGCCCCACCATAGAAATTCGATATTTATTGTTACACTTCATAAATCGTGACATGAAATTTTCCACGTAAGACGTCATCAGTAAATGAATGTCGGGTTGGACTTTACTTTACATACAACAACAATCAAAGCACAGAAAGGCGCTGAATTTGTTTTGGGTCTCAGAAAGTAAAAGAAATGTGCAGGTGTGAGATTATAATGTATAGTGCCACAATGCTTTCCAGCGTGTTTAATTTTAGTAAATTGACTATAAGACTTATTGCAACACTGATTATGCAAAATCCAATGTTTATTTGACTTAAACAATTTGAAAAAAAAAAATGAGTTCGCCTTTACTGGGATTTGAACTCAAGAACTTTCATAGAGGCGAGGCGCGAAAAACCTTTAGCCACGGTGTGAATTTATATGTGAACGGCCTGAAGAAAACCATATTATTTCTAAAAATTTAGGGCTTGTAACGACTATAAAACTGTTGTTTAACACAGATGTAATAATCCTGGAGCTTACTATAAGCATGTATATATTTATAAAGAATCAAAAGGGATTGCAAGTTCTGTGGTATTTTCTGATCTTTGCAATCTTAATCGTACTGTATATCTGTATGCATTTTCCTGTATAAGTTTATATTTTTTTTATGTACTATAATTCATTTTGAAGGCACCAGAGTTTGATACATACGGAACTCCGCATAACTAGTAGATGCATCGAAAAATCAAAATTTATGTTTCATTTTTTTTACGACAGTCACACTTTATCCTTGCATATCATGGCTACTTCCTTAACAAAGACACTTAAAAAAAAATTAAAAAAAATTTCCTCGACTTGGATTTGAACCTCCAGACCTCTCACTCCTGAAGCGAGCCGCGTTACCCCTGCCCGCACCACGGAGAAGTTATACAAAATAATGTCTTGAATAACATCAGGTCATTCTAGATTTTAGAACTTCCATTGCATTTCGGGTTTCTTATCCTTATTAATTTCGAGGTATTTTGTTTCAGGATAAAACCGGTTGTTTAAAATTGAAGTAAATAATTTAGCGAAAATCTTCTCGCACAAACAGTCCGACATGTAGAATTCTATATATATTTTCCACTACTTTCGCGTTTGTGTAAGTTTCGGTAATCAACATCGCTAAAAATAGTATTTTTTTTTCATTGAAATTTAAAATCATAATTCATGCCGCGCGTAATTTGTGATTGTGCATTTATTGACAATTCTATTAGCCAACGCTATTTTTAAACTTTGAATGCGTTGTTATTTGTTAAATATTTGTAACAAAATAAAAATATTTCTTTCTTTTAAATCGCTAGTTTTAAGCTGTTTTGAGAACTACTTGTTGTTAGGTTTGTTGTGAACTTCTGTGTCAGAGGTTGAATGTCCGCTTTGTATTTACTTAATTTCGATCAGAAAATACAATAAAAACAATATTAGAAATCTTCGACCATTCGGGAATTATTTTGCTTGAAAATTAATTCACCTGTCTTTGGCCATCTTTACGCAGTGATCTCCCCTGAATTTTTCGTTGTTAGTGTACATATAAAGGGAAGTAACCGCTTCAAGAAAGTGGACTACTTTCGGCGTTTGCAATTAACAACATTAGACTCTGAAATTTCGCTACCATTATTTGTTTGGTCTGACGACCCAAACAAATAAAAACTATTATGTATATAAGGGAAGTAGCCAAACTTTGAAATGGCTTATTAGCATTGCTTAATCCGATTCGGTTGAATGCATTTTAATATAGAAAAAAAAACATGTTTCACAATTCATACTTAGCATTCACACATGAATTAAAATGACTTTAATGAATTAAATCTTATTGGTCATATTCAATGGTAAAAGAACATGAAAGTAACTGTAAATGTTCAAGAACATATATTATCAAATATGAGTAATTACTTCTCACCTATTTCACAATTTTTTCCAAAGTACCCTTTAGGACATTCACAATGATATTGTGTTGTGTGCGAGTGGTAGCAGATACCTCTAACGCATGGGTTTGAACTGCATGCATTTATCGCTGAAATGTAAAGTCAAATAATAGTTTTTTACCCCTTATTTTCCTGTTGTCGTCCGTGAATAGTGTCCCTTTATCTTGAGTTCAACCTGCAAGCTTACATAAACATGATAATCTTGATTTGTTTTTTGTTATTTCGTGTAGGTGGGAGTGGCAAATGTGCCCACTACCTTTGTGCGAATGAAAAACCAAGCCGCTTTTCTACTTTCTGCCCGGCTTCATTGAACTCGTCCCATGCATTTTCTTGACATGAAAATACCCTTTACTGTAATATTTTGCCATTTTTAGGTAGATAAAAAGTCATTTTTTGATGAACTTGTATGATTTTATTATTTTTATTGGTTTTGAATTCATAGAATTACAGGGCTAAAATGCTCCGTTAGTGAACCTTGTCCTTTCAAATGAGTAAAAAAACAAAAATGTTTACTGTACCCAAAGCGATATGTCCTGACGGCCAAATATATGTTTAAAGATGAGAAAATACCTAAATATCTTAAAAATAGCGGTTAAATATTTTGTAACCCCGTTATGAACACACAGCTAAATTTAACTGTAATGCATACTGTCGAAAAATTATCCCATTCATTTCCAAAAGAAAAATCCAAATTCTTTTTTAATAAAGAAAAAGTAATAGATAAATTCCTTCAAAATTAACTTTAAAAGTAAATAGATAAAAGATACTCCGTCGAAGTTAAACTTATAAATACTTGATTAATACACAAAATATTTAAAAAAAATATTATAAACATATCAATTGGGCAACTACAAAGTTAAAGAACTATCTAATTAGAATGACAAAAAACTATTCTTTACATTTTATTTTAGAATGGCCAATGAGATTGCCAAATTTCATTTGTAATTTTAAAATGACCAATGAAAATTCTTCTTATATTCATTTCTTCGCTGTAAATTTCTACAGGAAGTCAAAGTGAAATCAGTTGTTTTACGACAATGCAATGGAACAGGTCTTTCACCCATTAAATACGCATGATACAGTGCCCCTTTAGATAGAGAAGTGTTTTATTGCGTGTGTGTGTGGGGGGGGGGGTCAAATTCTTTTATAAATGTGAAGGAAACCAATATCTGAAAGATTGAATATGATAGAATTGTGAAAGATTTTCATCTTCTCATATGAATATTTTTGGAACACCCCCGCAAAAAGCAGTCAGGGGAAGTAGTATATGGTATGTGGAAAAGCATCTATATGTATTATTTCGGGCAACAAATCAACCAATGCTATTTGCTTTACAGATATTTTTGTTAATTTAAAGGCACATTAAATAAATATGCCTACAAATGAATAAATATCAACTTTAAAAAGGACAAAAATAAGTTTTATAACGTTCAAATACTAGTTTTAGAGCACGTATATATGCTTGTTCCCTGAAGAAAGTAGCCTTAAAAGTTAAATGAGTTGTCATACAATTAGAAAAATGTAAACGAAGAAGTATTTTGACCCCCATACAAAAAATAAATCATATATAACTGCACAAAATGAAGAAAAAAAACGCAACTGGTCCTAAATTTGGCCAAAGTGTGCCTTCCTGGAAAGTATTCAAAGGTAAACCAAAAAATAAAAAGCTTTGGAGAATTAAAAGTAAAAGCATTCCAATGACATAATAGGTCTTTAAGACAATATTTGAAAAGGAAATTTCTTTTTTAAAAAAATCTTAATTTTTGATCTTTAAAATTTTTGTCTTACAGGAACAACCATTTAGCTTTCATTTAGATAGTTTTAAGAAAAAACACACCTGATATTCTGTTTTTACCTTTTGTGTTTCCCATTTAGTTGTTGGTGTTGGCTGCTTTTTGTGCTGTTTTGGGGTTTTTGCGTTAAAATATATGCCGTATTCGTACTAAATAAATAAGAATGTAGTTATTACTACGCTTTATCCTTAACCTTCTTGGACCGAGGATAATTAGGTTAACTTAAAGGAACTCCACTGATGTCCAAAAGCTTAAAAACATAACATAAGAATTTCATATATAGATCAGCTGGGGCACTTTAAACCGAAATATATGCAAAAAATGATTAAGAAGTATACGCATGAATAAATTGAAAATCGTATTTAAGAATTATGATATTCTTGATCCGTTTTGTGAGAAAATGTGTGAAAGGCGTTCCAGCGCTTTTCAATTTTAAATCATTTTTTCTGGAAAAACGTAGCGAGCGAATGATCTGAAATTTTGCACATAAGTTATTGGTCTAGACATTAATCTTGAAAAAAAAATAAAAAATTTCTTTCAGTCCTTTTATATAAAAAGGAAATCTTCAGTGAAGTCCATTTAACTGAATCAATTTCATTTTAACTTCTTTAACTTTTAAGTATAGCAAGTCCAAAAGAAAAATTCAGCAGTTCAAAAAAACATAATACCAAAATATTAGAATATTGTTTCAAACTAACTTTTCTTTCTCAAAGAAACAACGTTCGAGTCTTTTGAAAATGGTGAATGAATTATATGTGTTCATTTACAAAAAATGCCGGGCATTGTATTAAATTTTATATTTCTCTGAAAAAAATGTTTACCTAAAGCTGTCTACACAATGAACAATTACCACAGCTAAAACAAGTCTCCCTGAAAGCAAAAACCTCAATATAATTAAATAGAGGATATTGAATGGTATTGCACGGCCGTGATACAAACATAGCTAGAAGCTCGTCTAATATGATCTGATATCTTATAATCTTGCGCTCATTCAATAGCCTCTATATATTAAATACTATATTGTAAAATACTAAATACAGTCGTAAAATTGGAATATTGCTAATTTCAAAGATAATGGTAACGAACCCTTATAATTTGCTTATTATCGACTTATATTTATGTAGGTTAACGTTGTGATAAACCAAAATTTACCCACGTCTTTATTCAATGTTTTTCGTAATGCTTCCCTCATTCAGACTCAAAAAAGTTTTGTCCATTTGTACCCCACTATTTGAAATCATAACAACATGACGGCCCGTAATTAATTCTGTCTCACAAAACTTTATAAGCAGTGTCTTTGAACATTTGGCCTTAATACATATACCTGTCCTGTCACAGTATAAAGATTGGTTCAAGCCAGCTCACTATATGATAATTAGGGTCGGTATCCCCTTTAAAGGTATTGAAATAGAAAATATTTTCAGGCCCGTCGTCACGATTTTGTGATTGGTGCGGCCAATTTGGTATGTTTTAGCCAGAATCTAGGGGGGTACGGGGGCATGCTCCCCCGGAAATTTTTTTATTCTAGGATGCTCTCAGGGGCGTTTTCCCGTATATTTGGCACAGTTTACAGCCTGTCGCTAGTACAAGTTATAGTAATATGTCAACGATTTTTTTACAGATTTTCGTGCGTCATATGTTTTAAGGGTGTAAGGTTTGCATAACGGACGGGCAGGTGTACTTAAAAGATGAATACATGTAATTGATATTTGGCAAATGAAAAATAAACAATAACTAATGTTGTTATAATTCTTTAGATGCATTTTTATCTGATACTTATAAATAAACAAATACAAGAAATATTACAGTACGTGGATTATTGTTTAACATATATCACACAATGGTATAAGCTTAAATAGCAATCGATGCCATGATGGAAGAATAGTACATTACGAGTAAACAATAACCGCTTTTTGTTTAGCAGTAACTTGTATTTTGCTCACAAATCTCATTTTATGTAAATTTTCCAAAAACACATCGCCGTTCTCTGGTGGTAATGAACTCATCGGCAATTACACGCCAGTTGAGTGAATCTGTCCTGTACTTATGAATATGTAACACCATTAGATTGTTCAAACGTACTTGAGACATTGTCGATCTCAGGTATGTCTTTATTCTTCTGAGCGCCGAAATGTCCTTTCACTGGTACCATTAGTAGCAGGCATTACTAACAAAATCTTTAACAACACAACGACCTTAGAGAACAGTGCTCCTTTTAGCACCGACTGTACTGAAACAAATTTCAAAGCGTCAGGTAGAGTAACAGTACTATTTCCTGTTTTTGTCAAAATGTGAACGTAGCAGCTGAAGCTGCACCTCTAAGAGGTCTCGTTTAATATCGTTGCCATAGAAATCACAAACAAAACCAAGTTTTCTAGTGTACTCGGTCTTCAAAGGTTGTGCGGCCTTAATGAGTAAATCCTCCACGTTCTGAAGTACGCGATATCCCGGTTGGTCAAATCTCTCTTTTACATTGGCCATTGCAAGATCGAGTGCTTCAAAGTACTTAGGCCGGAACACGTCCTGCACTGTAATTATGTAATAGAGTAAATTGAATGAGTTTACTACTGAATTTATTTCCAAGAGCTGAATGAAAATATATTACACGAGCCTCTGGCGAGTATAATATTTATTCAAAGAGTTCAATACATTCAGTATGAACTTACACGAATTTAATATTCTGTTTATTACATACCAAAATTAAGGACCTTTTAAAGTGAAAAAATAACCGTTTTTCATTGACGCCCATAGAAAAACGATAACATTCAGTGTGTATAACGCAAATGACGTCAAAATATATGCACGGCCGTGCAATACCATTTTCACGGAGACTGATCAATATGACTGTGATAAAAATATGACTTTTGAACGGTTGCCGTGTAAAATCAATAAAATGTTATCAAGTTCTCGGAGAATTCACGCATACTAGTTTAAGATATTCATAATGCATATTGCAAATCTCATGCACTGTTTTTTGTTTTGTTTTTTATATCATAATATATATAACATTGACGAAAAATTGTACTCACCAAATGTTCGTTTTGGTTGATTTGGTTCCGATAGAATTGTGTCACACATCATGGTATTTAACTATCTTAAACTATTCATATTAAGATACTTGTATGTGAAAAGATGTAATTAATTTAAAGAATTGTAAACATATATATATGTGTATTCAGGATTACTCCTATTATATACGGTGAACTGTCCGAAAATATGAAAAACAAGATCAACAAGGAAAGGCGGCGTTCAATGAATAATAAAATTTTTATATTATTATTATAACTTTTACGCAAATTATTA